ACAGAATCACAACATGGTGGCAAAGCATGTGCTTCTCACATAAAAAGTTCCAGTTCACATCTTCATTTAAAACAATCATAACTTACTGTTGTTCCTAGGAAGAAATTCTGAGCTACTTGGACAATCACTCTGAACTAGTACAAGGCATTTATTGCTAATCTAAATATGCAAAAAGAAGCACATTTTTTTGCCTATCCTGCCTGCTTTCTCTTGAGAAAGTAAAGACAGCCCTTTCCTAGAAAGCATTCCCTTACAATGCCAATTTAGGATCCGTATTGCATTTTAGCTGTTTTTATTAATTATTTTCTTTTCTACAAATATCATACAATCTTACAATTACTATTTGGCAGCAGGAAATAGTACTGAAATATAATGAAATATTGGACTTTGACACCAAGGGTATACAAATCATAGTCTCTAACATTTCATCGTTGAATCATTTGTGGGGCATTTAAATACTTTCTAAATACTTCAATCAATCAATGGTGAACCTAATTTGCTCCTCCACTCTAGTATCATAATAATCAACCACAATTTTTGCATCTCCAAAGATGAATAAAGCATGGCTTCCAGGATACACAAGTTTCTCTACTCCTATTCAACATTTATTAAGTTAAAATTTAGCAAAAAATCATCATATCAAAAATCCTCTCATGAAGAAAATAATTCAAGTAATATATCTTGGTTCTTTAAAAGAGCCTTGGAAGAAATCATTTTACTAATATGATAAAGGGTTGATTTGCATGTAACAATAGCACTTAGCAAAAACACAGGTACATTTTCCATACTTTACATTTTCCATACTTTAAAAAAAAATCTTGCTGAAAAAAAATCTATTCTTGCTGCCCAGATTTTTTAACAGATTTTAAAACTCTTATCCTGAAAAACATAGTTGATCGAAGAACAGAGAAGCTGTTCTTTCTCGATTTGTTCATTAATATAACAATAGGGTGTTGGGGTGATGACCTCAAAAACCCCACTAACTCAGTGATTATTGACTTGAAAATTTCAGTAAGTATACCTCTCGCCTAGAATGCTATAAACAACAGCTCAAGACCTAGCAAAAGTAAGTCAAGAGATGGTAAATTATAATGATGCTTTCCAATGCTGTACACAGACAATTGGCAGATATGATTAATCTACTTTTCATCAATTAGATATCTGATGGGAAATTGGAGTCAATTGGAGAACTAATACTATAAGGCTTAATTTTATCTTCATTTTAATTATATTTGAAAATAAGTGGCAGTAATCACCTTTAAAAGCAAGAGAAGGCAATCATGGAAATGAAGATCACACATTATTTCAGCCTCCAAGAGTCATAGTAGCAATAATGACACTAGAGGGAGACAGGAAAATATTTGGCCATATTTTGAAAGAATTTAGATTAAATGTGTTAAAATAATGCTGGAATTCTAATGTGCCTGTTTTGCTCGCTATTTAGGATAGGAAAAAAACCCAAAAATCATAATGCCGAATTTTGACCTTTTGCTCCTTGAGTATCAGTAGCTCAAGCTACTGAGAGTATGGTTTAAGGGTCAGATCTTATGCTTTTTGTAATTTCTGAAATATCTATCCCTGTTTAAAGAAATTACCGGTAATCTACTGAAGAAAATTGGAGTCTCTGAAAATTCCCATTACTCTGAAACAGAAAGCATATAAATATCACTACTGCTGATACATTTCTCCTTACCTGCTTGAATTAAAAGCTTTAGACATTCATTTGTGTTTTGAAATGCAGCTTCATGAATAGCCATCCAACCTCTGTTATCAGGAACATCAATGCTGTATCCCTTTTTGATTAGTTTCTTCAAAAGTTTAATATTGCCTTTTCTGGCTGCAAGCCCAACAGCCGAACATCTATCAGAATAGGCTTCGGTAAAATCCATCCTAACAAATTGGGGTAGGAGAAAATGAAGAGGCATTGCCCATAAACGTAATCGAAAAAGAATACAACAGTGTATTATTTCAACAAAAGTTATCCTCATTAGAATATAAATGTACACAAATATATCTGATAGGCACCTCTACAATAAATTTATTTTCAGAACGTATTAAGAACATCAGAAGGCCATGCCCAGAGTATATACATCTAGCAGGATCACCAAGGCGTGAAGAGCATCCCAGCTAAAGCAAACAGACCCCTGTATTAGGCAGTAGCAATGTAGGAAAATGCTGAAGAGAACAATCACTTTAGTAACAACAGTAAAGGCACCATTTCATATTGTATGAGAAAAGACAATGGTAAACCACTCCTGTACTTTACTAGAAAACTACTTGGGTAGTTTGGATGATAGTTATGGTGACTGACAATATAGAGGCTGGTGCTGGGCCTCTGAGATCAGATGGCACCAGGGTGGATAAAAATCAATGATTTTTTTTAAGAAATCAAAAAAATCATTTTTTTTAATTTAAATCGGATTTTTTTGATTTAAATCGGATTTTTTTGATTTTTATCAAATTTATTTTAATAAAAAACTTTTGGGGTAAAAATCTATCGTAAGATAGTTTTCTATTTAAGATACATAAATAATTTTGTTTATTCAGCATGAAATGGAGCTTAGTTATGTAGCATGAGGCTGTATATTCTGCAACACTGGGACTATCGGTGAGTCAACAGTGGGTCAAAGGAGTAGCAGAGATGACAGTTGCTCTTTAAAAATTATGATTTAAATCGAGTTGATTTAAATCAAGCCTTTTTACTAGTGATTTAAATCATGATTTAAATTGTGATTTAAATCAACTCGATTTAAATCAAATCCACCCTGGATGGCACTCAACATGCTACTGAGAAAGAGCTAAGGATTTTCCAGTGTGTTCATGTCAGATTGATTAAATTCTTCAGGACACCTAGTCACTAATGGTGCCACATAGAAAAAGAAAATGCAAAGATACAAAGACAGAATTATAGTGGGAAATGCAACGTATGAAGTATGAGCATGTTCAACACAGTGAAAGATTAAGTGAAACAACTACATGCTGACATTTTAAGTTGACTGAAATGGACTGTTGTGGACTGTTGACTTTCAGTGAGATCACATTGTTTGCTACTGTAGTACTCTGAACATGAAAAACAAAAAAGGAACAACACTCAGATCACTCTTTGTTTAGTTTTGCTGTGCAACATCTCTTCATAGGGGTGATCTATCAGATCAGTCAACCCATGGTGCCTAATGGATCCAATGAAGTTTCAGAAGGCACCTGCACAGTTTTCCAAGAATCTGAGGGAAATTAAGATTGATTATCCATTAAAATAAAGGGGAAGCTGAGGAGTTTGACCAAATTACACTGGGGTGATCTCTCTCTTCTCACAGATCCAATACTGCTCCTTGTTTACCAAACAAGGTTTACCAAAGAGTTTATCGAGATGAAATCACAGAGGAAGACCCATTTTGAGTCCAACCACTAGTAAGAGTTCACATTTGCATCTACAGAGTGAAAATCCAACAACCAAACTGAGATATTTTGCCACTTCATTGCATCTGATTAGAGATAGAAAAGACAATTTTTATAATAAGCCTGAAAGGCCCACTGTGAAGAATTTTATGACTTCTAGCTAATAAAACCACTCGATTCAAGAGAGTGGAACTTCAGCTGCACAGCATCAACAGAGGTAACTGGCCCTTTTCACAGGTCACTCACACACTGTATAAACTAAATTTACGTAACTAGAAGAAAGTCAGAAATTCAGCTTTCTAGAAATTTCTTTTAAAACTTAGAAGGCTACCCTTTTTAAACTCATCACAAACAACTGCAAAATCTCTTCCATTTAATAATAATTCTGTTGTCACCAACAATACTTTGAATGAGTTCACCCAATATCAAAATCATTATGGCTCACAGTATACTTATCCACTATAGTACATGACTACATAATAAATTATATAGTTTATAATTCAGTGTGCCAGGAACCCAGCCGTAGTTTGATTCATCACTAAGTGCAACGTATGAATACACAGCTAAGGCAAGAATTAATACTGATTATGGCTTGGGCTGAAGAGACCAGAAAGTGGCTGACTTAGGGCTGATCACACTCAAATTGGCCTTTCTCAGAGGTTGTTAGGTGAACAGCGATCCCTACATCGGGCACTCTTATTAACTCCCAGAAGGAAGAGGGGATAGAAATGCAATAATTAACTGAATATGAATTAGGGCACTGACCCAACTGGATTCAAAGCTCAAGCATCGCCTAAAGTTACAGGTTAAATTCGTGCAGCAAAGTAAGCAAAGGGCGAGGACGCCTCCTTTGAGACTCAGCGGGCTGCAGGACCCGGATCCTCACTTTCCTATTTTGAAGTTAAAACCCGCTGCCTGGCCCAAGAACCTCAAAGGGGGAAAGTGGCGCAACCACGACGATTCCTCTTCCCTCTCGGTTGCCGGGGCAGCCTGAAGGGAAAGCGGTGAAGATGCTTCCCTCGGCGGGCTCAGCGCGGGATATTCCGTAAGATGGCGGAGGCGTCTTGTTAAAAAAAAAAAAAAAGGCCGCGCCAAACAAGCCGTCGCCAATCCGGCTTGCCCCTCGCCGAGCAGGACGAAGCAGCCAACGCGCCTCCCAGGAGAGGCGGCCACTTCTCCTTCCTGCCTTTGCCAAAGAAAGAGCAGGAGCCCAGCAGATCAATGGACTCGGTCACGGCCCCGCTCCCTTCCTTGCCCGCTCTTCTCACCCGAGATCTTCGCCGGGGCACCCGGGGCTGCCGTGGCCGAGCGAGGCTCCCTTTCTAGGAGAGCGCTTGGGGCTTCGGAGCGGCTCTCCCAAAGAGCATCCGAAGCTTTGCCGAAGCAGGAGCAGCCCGCTGACACCCAGCCTTTCTTTTCCTGGCTCAGAAGGGGATGCCGGGAGCTGTAGTTTGAGCTCGGTCTACGGCAAAAAGCCAGCGGCGCCTCTGACTCCCCAGTTCTCCCGGCGAGACAGTCAGTGGAGGGGCACGTGGTTGAGTGGAAGCGGAGCCCGCTCGGAGGTTGGGGCTCTTTTGAGCGCGGGCCCTGCGCTCTGCTGTGTGCTCTGCCTGCTCAACAAAGGCTGGAGAGAATATGCAAAGCCCTAGCAGCCCCCAGGGCCGCTGTTGCCCGTCCCCTCCCTCTTCCCCAGTCAGCGAAGCAAAGAGTGACGGGGCTAGAAACATGTGGGTGTTCGGATATGGCTCTCTCATCTGGAAGGTGGATTTTCCTTACGAGGACAAGATGGTAGGATACATCACGGGCTACAGCAGGCGGTTCTGGCAAGGCAGCACGGATCACCGTGGAGTGCCGGGCAAGGTGAGCTGCGGTAGGCAGACGGAGCGGAGAAGCGGGGCTATCTCGTTACCGGCTCCGTGCCAGTGGGGCACTGAGAGATGCCAGGACTCGCTCTCTCTTTTAGTTAGTGGGGAGAATTTGTTATCTCCCAGATGGGAGCTGGGTGGGAATCGAACTGGGCCAGAGAAGGAAAAGGTTTGGGGAGGTGGACCTGTGCGACTGACAAGAGCTGACCTGCCAGCCATCCTGTTGCAGAGGAGCTTGGCAAGTGCCTGCGTGCCCACTGGTCGGATTGATGTTTGTGTGCGTAACTGCCGAGTCAGATCTTCCACGTTTGGAGTAAAATAAATTTACTTACGGGTGGAGCGATTCCAGAACCCAGGTGCACTTTTCACACGCACAGCCCAGCGCTTATTATTGTTGGAATAATAGAGGAAAGGTGTCTTTGTCTCCCACTACTCCTCTCTATGCTTTTAACTTGTCTATTTTATCCATACACAGACAAACCTCGAATACTAATATAGTTAACAATGCAACTTGGGTACAATTGGGGGTTTTTTTCCCGTTGGGGAAATGCAGACAGGACAGTGTATCTTGCAGGCAACAGGGAAAAGGACCAAGTTCCCAAACTAGGGTTTTGCGTTTTTTTAATGGTTGCACTACACTTCAATATTTGGGTCATCTTCTATAAATTTATTTATATTTGCCCAGATTCCTTCTGAGCACACTACGAAGAGAACTTCAATGGCAAGATTTGATTTTCTGCTAAAAATAAAATTACTGACCTTGCATTTAAATCCAAACCCATGGATAATCCTGGCTGAATTCCAACATGTTATACCAAAACAAAGAAATCATATTATGGCTTAAAATTATGGCCTGATTCGCACAACATACTAAGACATAACAGGATTTGTTTAGTTTTAGCTAAACATGTATAGTTTAATCAATTATTATTTAGCTTATTGTACAAATATGAACAGGTATGATCATCTCCTGAGCAGCATATATTTGTTGTTAAAGATCAAGAAAAGTATCGTCTCCCTCTAAAATTGTCTTAAGGCATTTGCCATCAGCAAGTCTTTTAATGGCTGCATCCATTTTGTTCTTGAATGTAATTTGAGAAAAAGTTCAGACTATTTCATAAAAGAAATAAATGTGTCACAGGATTGAGATGAACAGCTCAATTCTCCATGTTTTCTCTGAATAGGCTACACTAAGCCAAATGAGATTGTCTAGTAAATAAAATAATATAAGATGAAAGAAGTTGTTTCAAATATTTAAAAAGACCAACTTCCACTTACTACATGTGGATTTTGATTGCAAAACAAGAACATAATGTGTTCTGTGTAGTGAGATGAGCTGTGCATCCAGTATTTTAAAATCTTCTGAAATGGGAAGGTAGAATCTTGGATTTCTAGCTTACTGTCCTGTGTAATTCATTCCTGTGTGTAGAGGGTTTCTGTATATTTGGGGAAACAATTTACAACTTTCTGAAGTGATACTATAACAGAACTGACAGACCACAATTCTTCTAAAATTAGCAGCCAAGCAGTGTTCCAAGATTTCCAAGGTTGAACGTGGGTTTGCACTTTATGTTCTCAGAGAATGTCCTTTTGTTTGAATAAATGTTATTTTTTTCCATACTTCAGTTGATAGGCCTATGGTGTTCAGTTTTTTGACTGCATTTATCTATAGAGCTTACTAATCAACTGATAAATTCAGACTAGATTTCATTTAAAATGAATATGTCAGCAACATTAAAACTAATGAAAAATTAGTTGGAATTGGGTAGCCAGTTAATTTAAATAAATGTCATTGCATGATCAACTGATAATTTTGTCTCTACATCATTTATACGGCTTCAATCCCCATTTCTCCTTTTTATATAAATGTATCAATAATATGAGCCCAAAGTTCGTTCATTAAAAACATCCTAGTTTGTAACCATTGCATCCTTACCAAGAAATAAGTGTCAATGAATTCAGTGGCACATTAGAAAGGTCAGTTTCTGCACCCATTCTATGACTGCCTTTGAAACAATGTTAACGTCTGACTATATTAAATCATTATAAGAAAATACTATACTAGCTGTTAATTTTTCATTTTTTTACTTCTTTACCATTATACTAGAATTAATAGGAAAATTCTGATTAAATGAATATCCTTCAGTATCTTTTTTCGACAGAACAAAATGAGGAAAAGTCTAAGAACCGGTTTGGTCTAGTAGGTGAGGCTCCAGGCTAGAAACCAGAAGACTATGATTTCTAGTCCCACCTTGAACATGAAGGCTGATTAGGTGAATTTGGTCCAGGATCCTGCACTTGCAAAAAGATGCTAGGAAGGAAAAAAAGAGAAGAGAAAGTACATGAATCTTTTGGAACTATCCATAATCTTGCAACACTTTGACTTACAATGTCCTCAGAGCTCATGTAAGCCTATTAATAAAACAAACATTGCCTGTCATTATCAGAATGTTTCTCACAGTCGAGATTTGTGTAAACATGCTCAATTTTGTAGCCCTAAGAAAAAGTGTTGTTAGTGTTCATGAGACTAGAATGGCCTCCATCAATTCAGTCAGGTAGTGTACAAATGCAGAAAATGAAACATGTCTATTACTTCCAAGCCTGGTCATCCAACACAAAACTTCCCAAGACCAAACCTTTCAATTTTCTGGGAAATCACAAAGAGCCCAGAGAACAGCAAAGAATCAGGCCGTTCTTGCACTGAACAATGCACTGATGTCAGAGTTCATGATTCTACCATTAGACAGACACCGAAGAAGAATGATCTGAATGGAAGGTTATCAAAGAGGAAACCATTGGTTTCCAAAAAAAAACCCTCAATGCCACAGGTTTCAAGTTTGCCAAAGATGATCCAGCAGGCTACTGGAACATGGTTCTGTGAACAGACTGAGATAAAAATAGAACTTTGGATATTAATGAAAAATTTTATTTTTGAAGGAAGTGAAATATTGAATTCCAGTAAAAGTAATTCATTGTAAGCATAGTGATGGGAATTTTCATGGATTGGAGCTGTTTTCAGCCTTATGACCCTGGCAATTCATAATTAGGGAGGAAATAGCAAATTTTATTGTTGGGAGGAGACTGCTGAGTATTTACAACAGTTAGCCTAACTGAAAATATATCTGACCTAAAACAAGTTCATCTAAGACAACTCCAAACTACCAATGAAACAAAGCTGTTATGTAAAGGGGAAAGGGCCAAAATACTTGCAAATAAAAGTGCATGATTGGTCAAAAAGTACAGAAAGTATTTGTTGAATCTAATAGATCTTAGATGAAGTTTAAAGCACATTGCCGCTCATAGTACAGTAGGAGTATGGATAGTTCTGAAATGTTTACAAATTTACTGTTGTAGTATAACCAAGACAAGGACATATTGCCCAGTATGCTTCCTTTCCCTATTTTTTATTGGTTTTATTTGCTATTTTATTCCTTCCATTTTTAATAGAGATAGTATTTCATAGTGGTTGTATCTTAACATTACATTGAAACAGAACCCATAAGATAGAAATGATCCAGAATGCAGTGGCATGTGAAGTTTTGGGCATCCCATGGTTTGTCCATGGTACTCTGATGATATGCAAGCTATACTATCTTCAATTTTCTTTTTGACTGCAATTCAAGATTCTTATTATCTCCTTTAAAGCCCTGAATGGCATGGGGCCAGACTATTTGTGGAACCACTTGAGGTTATTTGCCTTCTCCATCAGATCAGATAGAGTGTCTTGCTCCAGGTTCCTTCCCTTAAATGTTGCCATCTAGCAGGATTGAAGTAGTCTGCCTTCTTGGTAGTACTTCTGCCCTTTGGAACAACCTTCCCTCGGAGATCCAGCAGACCCCAACCCACCTGGTTTCCTGAAAAGCCTTGAAGATTTTGTTTTTCCAACGAAGTTGGGATAGCATCTGGCTGGAGCCTGATAAAGTTGTTGGTATATATAAGGAGTGTATTTTTAGGGCCACTGCTGGTTTTTTTGTGTATTTGTAAACTGTCCACTATTATGCTGTATAAAATAAGAGGCTATATAAATCTTTAAAATAAATAAATAAGTCTGTATAGCATATGAGTAATATGTGGTACAGGTAGTTCCCACAAACCACCAGGGATAAATCATTCTGAAGATTCTACATATGATTTATATGGAGTTGTGCGCTAACCAGTAATTTTCACTTGTTTCTGTCCTATAACAATCCAGAAACATGAAAGTATGACTCTCAATCAAACTACTGAGTTATAGCAACAGAAGTGTCTTACTATTCATTTTTATATGCTACCCATAGGAATTAGATTGCCCAATGGCCTTTTAGTTTGAACCAAAATTCTGTGGAGTTAAACCAAAGCAAGCAAGCAGCATGGACTAACAATCTGCTACCTGTGGTTAAACAGAATTTTAAATAGCTGATTTCAAGCACTGCCAGGATGCACTGGATTTCACTCTTCTAAATAATTTGACATTATAAAAAATTGGTTGTGTTGATCTAGATTATTTGTTAATGTGTGGGGGATTTTAAAATATATTTAGTCAAATTTTAAAATGTTTGTTTTTATGCAAATACTTAATCATTCCTGTTTAAGCATAAAAACATATTTTTTGGAACCACAACCATTAATTTCCTCAGAATGAAGGATTTCAGTTATTAGTGCAGGTGTCTGTATAATTATAACAATATGCTGTTCATTGCCTACTGATGTATACTTCTCCAATTTTCAGGGATTTCTCAGAAAACCGTATTTTGAATTTGTAGTCTATATAAAGGACTGATAATAAGCTATGGTCTAGTTATTATTTGAAAATGCTTTCCAGAAAGCATTGCCTACCATAGGTTAATAACAATATCTATGAATTAAGATTAAAACAAGTAAAGCCTTTCCTATTTTCTATTTCATAAAAAATAAAAATATTTGAACAAAAATATTAAATTTTACAGTACTTTGAAACCCAGCGTGCCTCTCACTATACAAGGATTATAGAGCTTATAAAATTCTAAATAGTATTTGTGGAGCAGAGGAAACAATGGAGTTCAGAAACATCCAGCAATCTAGGAGAATGGCATTGACAAGGCAAGGCTATGTTATTTACTGCTGTATATGCAGCAGATTTGTCAGTCATCAGAAATACTGACTGACTTCAACATAAATGAGCCAATACTTAAAAATAATTGGCATTCTTCTGGGATTAGACAATATGCAACGACATTAATATTCAGTAGAGCTTACACCTTTCAAATAATGTTTGCTTTTTATGCAAATTCACATCTCCAGTCTGAAATCCTTACAACAAATTTTGAAAATTTATTTAAAAGTATATGCTTCTTATAAGATTTCAGCATAAGTTTAGAACATCTACAGTAAATTAACAAAAAAGGAATACAAATTAGTACTAAGGTAGATAATGGAATATACTACAGAATATACTACAGAAATTAGAAAATCGATGTACAACATTCAGATTAATCATTTAAGCATCTTCATGATTGGATAAAACAGTACCTATGTACTTCTGAATATTTAATGAAAAAGTGACTTAATTTAGTTATCAGTTAATGTCTAGATTGTAAATGATTCTGTCTTTTTAAAAGTTCAGAGAAATAGTAATCACAAATAGAGTAATAGTAATATGAATACAGATTCCTATATTGTTGACATGAACTCAGACTAATAAGTAGCACCTTAGCTTAGGCCTTTTAAAAAGTTTTTAACTAAGATAACACAATGCCATTTTTCCCACAACTGTTTTTTTAAAGGAACTATAGGAAAGCCCCATATGAAAGCAGATATTGTCCCTGTGACTTGGGTGCTATAGAAACCACAGCCCATGTTCTTTTGTATTGTCAATTCTACACAGAAATTCATCATCAGTTGATTACCCCTTTTTACGTACATTTCCAAGGCACTCTAATATTTTCATTTGTATTATCTATTAAATAATTAAATTTATTTCTGTAAACATAGCAAAATTTTGCTACAGTATGTATAAACTTTGCCTATAAATGGTTGCCAACAGTTATTGAAGTTAAGGGATAATTTTGCTTTGTTTTATTTTTGTTTGTTTTTTCCTAGCTATTAGATACCAGATGGCCTCATCTTAACACAGACAGACAACTGGGCACAAAGATCCCGGACAAATGTGGTCATTCTTATGAGTGCACACATGAATACATTTCTAAGGCCAAATCTCATTTTTCAAATTTATTAAACAAACTTACAGGACCACTAAACTCACATCTAGGTGACCCCAAGGGGCTTAAAACATTAAAAATCACAAATATAAAAACACATAGCCCCTCCTCCCATGGCAGCAATAATACAATCGAATTAACCACGATTGGCTCCTGTAGGAGATGATCAGCTGAGCCTGAGGGTGGGGTCAAATACATAATCAGTTTGGAATGTCTATACCTCCATAAGACCTTGAAGTCTGTTAACTCTTACATGGAGCCAATTCACCTTGACTGTTAATAGATCAGATTCTAATGTATAGGTAGCATAAAATAAACTTGTAGCATTTTGAACTCTATCCTGGTTCCCAATTTCTTGTACCTGATAGCTTCATCTTCATTTGGCGTCCCCAGACCTGTTGCCTTTTAGAAAAGCAACAGGATAGAGGGCCAGACATACCTCAGCAAGAAAGATATTCAATAGAGAGGTGGTCACCACTGAGAAGACCTTTTTCTTGGTCCCAACAGAAGTATACCCCCAACTGATGGGACCCATAACATATCCTGTCTTCCTGTCCTGGAAGGCTAGGTGAATATAATAGGGGAGGTGGTCCTTCAAAAAGCTCAAGCCACATAGGGCTTTAAAGGTGATAACCAGCGCCTTGAATTGTATCTGGCAGCATATTGGCAGCTACTGCAACTCCTATAAGAGAGATGATACATGCAGAGCTTTAGGCTTGCATAAAACTGTTCAGCTACTACATTCTGAACCAAACGAAGCTCCAGGATACTGTACTATGTAAACTGCATTACAACAGTCCAGATGGGTGATGACCAAGGCATGGGTGACTATAAGAAGGGCATGTTGGTCATTGTTGGGTAGAGACTGCCACCAGCTCCTCAAGCAAGAGTCACGAGTCCAGAACTCAGTGATTATGCAATGGATCAGTACGGGGCAGTGCAGCCCAGTGGTGAAATGCTCCCGATTCGGACTGGATCACCCGATCCAGTAGCGATGGGGACGGGTGGTTCGGAGAACCGATAGCAAAAATCCCTGCCCCCCCCCCATGCCCAGCTGAGCCGTGCAATCATCAGAGGCTTTTTAAAAAAAATTTAAAAGCATTTTTTCTACAACCTCTTCGGCCGAAAAAATGCTTTTAAAAGTTAAAAAAAAAGCCTCTGATGATCACGCGGCTCAGCTGGGATTGTCAGAGGCTTTTAAAAGCCTCTGACGATCCCAGCTGAGTTGCCTGATCATCAGAGGCTTTTAAAAGCATTTTTTTACAACCTCTTCAGCCGAAGAGGTTGTAGAAAAAATGGTTTTAAAAGTAAAAAAAAAAAAAAGTTGGCCACACTTACTCAGTCACATTACCCCCCACCAAGCCACGCCCATAGAACCGGTAGTAACAAATTTTACATTTCAGCACTGGTACAGCCCCATCCACAACCAAATATGGCCATTCTTCAAGAGCCAAAGAGCCCCTAACCCAGAGCCAGTCTAGATTTAACCTGCTGTTCTCCATCCAGACCTCAACAGCATTCAGGCAAATCTTATCACTCATATGACTTTATTGATTATTACAAGTACACAACAGGAGGCAAACCTAGTAGTTATGGGCTAGGGGCAAATTTAAAATTTTGAAAACACAGTGGTAGCTATCAGAACATAGCTATTATAGTACTGTATGCATAACCAATCTCACAATACTCATTTATCAGAAGGCAAGCCAGTTCCTAAAGCCAAGTTTCATTTCCCGGTAAGATATATGTGTGACTCAAAGACTACATGGTTCTAGAGGCTTGTGCTTTGTAGCATGCCAGCTTTCCTGCTTTTACTAATATCATTTTCATCTTTTAAAAAAACAAAACTCCGATAAGATAGAGTTTCCTGGGGACAAATTTGTGAATAAAAAAAAACTTTTCCCTGGTACAAAATGCAGCTTTTTATTTATTTTTATTTAAATTTTATTTATTTATGTCCAACATATTATTTTTATAAATAACTTAAGGAAGCAAATATACTTAATACTCCTTCAACCTCCTATTTTCCCTGCAATAACTCTGTGAGGTGGATTGGGCTAAGTGACTGGTCCAAAATCATCCAGCTACCTTTCATACCTAAAATGGGACTAGAAGTCAGTCTCCTGGTTTTTAGCCTGGTACCTTAACCACTAGGACAATATGGCTCATTATCATACAACATCTATATTATAAAAACTACAACAGTTGCCAGTTTATTTCTGGATGCAATTCATTATGCTGTAAGAATTATTACATTATTAATAATTAATAATTAATAATTAGTTATAATTACAAGAATTAAAGATAAGCGACCTTGATATCTATGAAATCATTTCTACTTGAGAGCTCAAGAATTTCTACTTGAGAGGTAGAATCTGCCTCTACAAGGCAAATAGAAGGAGCACAGTTAGAATATTCACACATCCCAAAAAACGTCTATAGAAGGGACTTCAAAAAAAGCATTCTCTCCTGGATCTCTCCTTTTAAGGAAGTAGCTGTCTTCTAAAATAAGATGAGCATCTTGATATTTTAAAGTCTATGAAAATATTTAACAGGCATTTAAGGGCTGAGGGACCAATGATAAATGTGCCTGAAAATCATATGGGTATTGCTTAGTGGTTTGTTATTACTACTGAGGTGAATTATTTTGCTTGATTAAACCAGCCTAAAAGCACACGAAACACTTGTACATAAATAAAATGATTACAAATGGATTTATGTTACAATCTGCATTCTTAGCAAATATAAGCTCCTCAGCCAGCAAATATACCATCACTATGGCAGAATTCAAATACTTTAAATATGTATTTCATTTATTTAATGATCCTGTGGTTTGGATTTTTGTTTTAAAAAAACTTCACTTTTGTACTGGTTCTGAAAGTTTTTACTGAATTTTTGTTTGTTTTGTTTTTAAATTTTAGCCTGGAAGAGTTGTGACACTTATTGAAGATCCTGAGGTACAGTAATTGTATTTTTACATATTGTATAAATTACATTTTGTCCTCAATAGTGGCATGTAGCATCTGCCTTCCTAATTCTGATAGAGAAAAGCCCAGTTCCTATAGAGAAGCAGCCAAAATAGTATACAGCTGTTTATAAATCATTCATTTGAAGAAACTAGTTCCATTTTCCTGAAAAAAATCTCTTAATATGCTTAATACTGGTTTCAAATAAATTGATTCCTGTTCACCTTTAAGATCTCTTTTTTCTTTCCTGCCCCATGTTCATTCAGCTTTTATAGCTAGTCCTCAGTTACTGTTGCAAGTTGTACTACTATTAAGTAGTAATAACATGACTGCACCTGATTTTATGACCTTTTTTGCAACAGTTGTTAAAGCAGCAATTGTAAAGTGGCCACTGCAATCATTAAACAATTCAATTGTCCTCAATGGGCATTTTTTTACAGCAAACCAGAAACAAAGCTAGTTTCCAGCAAAAATAATCATCAGTCATAGTCATGTGACTGCAGGACGCTGCAAACAGCTGTAAATGTGGGCTGGTTGCCAAGTGCCAAAAATGCAAGCATGTGACCATGGATGAGGGTGGCAATTAAAACTTAAAATCCAAGCTGTAAGTACCTTTTTTTGCAATCCATTTTAACTTTGAACAGTTGCAAATCAAGAACTACCTGTACAGGTAGTCCTCAACTTAACAACAGTTCATTTAGTGACTATTCAGAGTTAAACAGCACTGGAAAAAATGACTTGTGAGTGTTTTTCACAGATGACCATTGAGGTATCCCCATGGTCACGTGATCAAAATTCAAATGCTTGGCAACTGACTCATATTTATGTCCATTGCAGAGTCCCAGGATCATGAGATTGCCTTTTGCGACCTTCTGACAAGCAAAAACAATGGGGAAACCTGATTCAGTTAACAACAATGTTACTACTGTATTTTTCGGAGTATAAGACGCACTTCCCTCCCCCACAAAAAAAGGGTGGAAATATTGGTGCGTCTTATACACCAAATACGGCCATTTTTGGCCTCCCAAAGCCCCGCCCTGTTTGTCCCATATTTGTGAAAAATGGATCCGTTTTTCGCAAAAACAGGGTGTGCAGAGGGTTTGAGAAGCCTGCAGAGTGCTCCTGGGGGCTGAGGAGGACAAAAACAGGGACGTTTTTTCCTCAGCCCCCAGGAGCACACTGCAGACCTCCCAAACCCTCTGTGCACCCCATTTTTCGCAAAAATGGGCCTGTTTTTTGCCCATTTTTTGCAAAAACGGGGCCGTTTTTGCCCTCCCCCAGCAGCACTCTGCAGGCCTCACAAACCCTCTGTGCGCCCCATTTTCGCAAAAGCAGGTGAAAATTGGGGCACACAGAGGGCTTGGGAGGCCTGCACAGTGCTCCTGGGGGCCAGGAAAGGCAAAAACTTTTTTTTTCTTACTTATTTCTTGGAAATCTTAGTGCGTCTTATAAACCGGTGCATCTTATAGTCTGAAAAATACAGTAATTTAACAATTGCAGTGATTCACGTAATTGTGGCAAGAAAGGTCACAAAATGGGGCAAAACTCACTTAACACATCTCACTTAGCAACAGAAATTTTGGGCTCAATTGTAGTTGTAAGTCAAGGACTACCTGTACTGAAAGGTGCATCAGGACTCTTGGAAAATAGCTGAGAATAAGGAGATGCTAAAATGAGGTACTGAATCCTTTTGTTTAAATAGTAAAAATAACTTTTATGAGACCACTAATTGCAATACAGTTTCTTGTAAGTGCCATACAGTTTTGAGGGTATGGAGGTATGGAAATGAAGAAAGAAGTTCATTAGTGTTTGATAGATAGTATTGTTAGAATTACCCTGTTCCCCCCCCCCCAAATAAGACATCCCCTGATAATAAGCCCAATCGGGCTTTTGAGCGCATGGCAATAAGGCCAAGCGCTTATTTCAGGGTTCAAAAAAATATAAGACAGGGTCTTATTTTCGGGGAAACACAGTACTTTCTTAGATATAAATTAATTCTCTATTTATACTTGCCAAGATACAGGTAGACCTTACTTAATGGCCAGAATTGAGACCAGAATTTTTGACTTCAATTGGCCCACCCACTTATTTTCCTCCATGTCTTCCCAAATATATCCTGATTCTCCTTTTAGAAATTAAGAAATAATCTATGAAGCAAAGAAGATTTGCCTGTAATCTAAATTCGAGGAAAGGCAAATGACACTCTGGAAATTTCTTTATAAACTTAGAAGCCTGTCATTTCTACATTTACAGTTAGTTCTCAATTTATGACTTGTCAGTGACCTTTGGAAGTTATGATCAACCTAGCAGGGAGCCATTTACCACCCAAATTCAGAGTTTCAACAATCCCACTCCACCCTGCAGTCACATGACAACTTCAGGTGCTTGGCAACCAGGTCACATTTATGGCTATCTGCAACGCTGTGCAGTCATATGACCACATTTTATGATGGTTTTGCCCAAAACTAGCATTTATTTCAAATTTTCAGCAAAACCATTGGTTCACTTAATCACTGCAGCATTAGCTTTATAACTACTGTGAAAGAACTGGATAAAATCACAAAATGCAAAAACAAAGAAAATGCAAATAGAATGACTGTGGCAAAAGAAAACAAAGATGTTCCAATTGCACCCTTGGGTGCAATCCCAAAACACCTGGAGCACCATTTGAAAAACATTGGCATTGATAAAATCCCCATTAGTCAATTGCAAAAGGCAGCTTTATTTGGAACAGCTTACATCCTTATTTGTTACTACTAATAGCATTTCCCTCCCTGCTCTAGTGAGATGGGCAGTTAGGAAATATGAAACATAAACAAACAATTGCCTAACCCGGATCCTTGGGAAGGACTCAGTGAGTGAGGAAAAGTACCAGATCCAATATAAACATCTAGTTGACTGTGAAATGAACAATAATAATTCAAAATTGGCACTGCAACAACTGTAACTTCAAGGAACAGCCATAACTACCATTCACTGCTGTTGAAAGTTCAGTTGCTGAACAAATGGTTGTTAAGCAAGCACTACATGTAATGAGATGTTGTTATAAAAGATAATTTAACTTTCAAACAAGCTTACTATTAGTTTCACAGAGTAGATATGGGGGGAAAATGGGAAGAGAATATATATGCTCCCTATAATGTCTAGTTCCACTTGTGGATCTTATGTTTTCAGGATTGGAGAAAGCACAGATGAGAAACATTGTAGCCTGAAAAATAAGTTGTCAGACAGTGCTTATAGACACATCCTGTGTCAAATTCACCCTCTTAGTGGCATTTTCTTGCTGTTGTATATATGTTCAGTATTTGTGTTGGACTCTACCATAGGTGAGCAAGAAGTAATATCCAGTTGAATGGTAAAGCAACTATTTATACTTTTTGTATAAAGAAATTAGTGTCCTGTCCCATATAAACACAACTTGATTTTAGATATATTTGGTCACTATTATTCTAATATAAAATGTCAATAAAGAAATATAGAAAAAAACCTAAATATTAAGATTGTCTGCTCTCTGAAGTGCCAGTTCTTTAGAGCATATTCCATTATATTTCTTCAAAAAAAACCTTCAAACTCACAGTTCTGGTGTGTCCTCAATATACTTTTTGCCACTGTAAATTTCTCTTGCACTTGAATGATTTTCTTGATTTATTTTTAAATTTACCTTCCCAGAATACTTAGCATTATATTTTAACATGTTGCTGAAAACTGCTAACTCTGATTACAATGTTTATATTTTAAATCTTTTTAGAAAGTAATGTTCTGTTTATAGTACAAAGAAAATAACAACTGCTCCCTTTCTATGTCCAGCTGTTAAATACTGCAACACTGATGTTTAAACTACAGTTTTACACAGCTAGGTACCACTAAACCTACTTAAACCTACCTAAAGTAAATTTGCCTAGGATCAGAAATTAAAAATCTCGACCATGAAAATCTCACTTCCATCCTCAAATCAGCTGCAAATTCACAGGTGAATTAAATTTTCAACTTTGTGTTCTCAAATCCGAAGAGCAAAAGTAAAAACTTACAGGGTGTTGCAAAATTATTGCAATATTACTGAAAATACATGTGAAATGTTTTGTAAAGTAAAAACTGTGAACTAAAATAAAATAAGCTCAGTTTGTATTACTATCATATATCTTTATTTCTTCTACATTAGGGGTGTTCACACCAAGAACTTCTAGATGGTATGCTAGATGGGACCCTGTAAAAAAAAATTAAGTGAAACCAAGATTAAAAAGTGTCTTAAGACAAAAATAAAAATAATTTTGCCATAGTTTAATTGTGATATAATATACATTACATTAAAATATGTACCATTTACTTATGATGCACTGAGCAGTTTCTCAGTTTTTCCAGTATTTATATTTTCTTGATAATAAATATAAATGTCATGAAAACAAGGAGGTTTGAACACCACTAGTTGTCCTGTAATGCTGCCGAATTTAAATCAGAGTAATGGCAGCTACAGATTTCAACCTTTTGTACTTGACAAGATCAGCAAAATGCAACACAGTGTCTGTCACTGTGAATTCTTCTGTACTTTTCTGGTAAGTTTTTTCATACTGCTGTGCAGTTAGATCCTATTATGTTAGCAGACAGCTTCCTCTATAAGCAGAGAATGGTTTAGCTTGGGTTTTTTTCTCTTTCTTTCCCCAGCATTTGTATTGCAAAACAAACTCCAATCATTGTAAACTAGTTATTTCAAATCAATACCCTGTAGTCATCCTAATTGTGCAGAGTTAAAATAACTAGAAATTAGCAATATTTTTATCTTATCTCTATCAACCTATCTTGCTAAATTAACAGTACTTGTTAGATGAAGTACCTGCACAGATGTGTCAGAGAGTAGAAAGAGAGTTCTTAACCATAGTAAAACCCTGGAAGAAAATATGAGAAGGGAAGAGAGCCAGTGAAGAATTGGAAACATGGGTTTGAGAATTTGCAGTTCCCTCATTAACACCCTGTTTTCTAGTTTTTCATTCAAGAAGTTATGTGCATGCATTACTGACAATAATGGTTTGAAAGAGTGACCTGTGCAACTCTTTGATAGAGTCTGATCTTTGTATGCTTTATCTTTCTGGTTGTATTCTTCTACAGGGCTGTGTATGGGGTGTTGCATACAAACTGCCAATAGGACAAGAAGTTGAAGTAAAAGCCTATCTTGATTTTCGAGAGAAGGGTGGATATAGGACTACAACTATTGTCTTCTATCCCAAAGATCCTGCAGTGGAACCTTTTAATGTGCTATTATATATTGGAACCTGTGAAAACCCTAACTACCTCGGACCTGCACCCCTAGAAGAAATTGCCGAACAGATTTTTAATGCAGTTGGTCCTAGTGGAAGAAATACAGAATATCTATTTGAACTCTGCAATTCCCTCAGGGATCTTGTACCAGAAGATGTGGATGAACATGTTTTTACTTTAGAGAAACTGGTAAAGAAACTATTGGAAGAAGAGCAAAACAAACCTGTATAACAATCACTTTGCAAACAGTTTCTTCACTATCAGACTAAGTTTATTCCGTTTATATTGTTTATATAATTTGGAAATTAGCCATCAAAATTTTAAAAAAATTAATTTTCATATTTCATTGAGGCATCACTGTCCTTGGGCAATAGAGATTTTTAAAATGATATTTAAATTTAAGAAGGAACTTTGAATTTCCATAAAGTTTTAAAAATGCTTTTCTGTTCATTTCTCAAATTTGAATAACTTAGGCCTGATTTAAGTTGAAGGGAACCTTTCTTAACTTTAAATTATTAGATTTTGTTTTCCTTTCAAAAAAAAAGTTTTGAACTAGATTCTTCACTTAGGTATGGATGCAGTCCTATGCACAAAAGGAAGTCCTTTCAACAAAGAAAGAAATGCATAGGATTGAGTGATGTGTGTTGGCATAAATGTCAGTATATTCCTTCAAAAATGTTTCCAATTGGATTTGTGGATTTCAGCACTGAGAGAAAAATTCTTTGTACACTTGTTTAGGATTAAGTCCAACATGGTACAAAGTAAATATGTGTAGGGATTACATTGTAAATGGCAATTATATCTATATGAGGGGCCTGGATTATTTGTACACCTGTTTGAAACGTATTGCTTATTATATATTTATCATTTCGTTTCACTTGCCCAAATTCAATAATTTATATATAACTATTTGCTTAGTGATAAGAGGATGAAATAGTTACAAATGAAAGGAAACAGCACTTTGCATTCATGGTTTCAATATCTTCAGAGACGATATATACTGGTATCACAAGGCTTTCTCTCATTTTTTTGGAAAATAACTGTAATCAGGGAAACAACTTGAATCTAGAGTAATAAGTAATGTAACAAAATTCCTATCCATAATCATTGGGCATTTTTAGAGATAGTCAAATTTGCCCTTATCCCAGTAATTAGAGCTCCATAAATTAAAATTCACAATAACCCTTTGTTCAACCTTTACTATGCAAGCATGATTTGGTCACCAATACCTAATGCTATAGTTTCACAACTTCTTGCTTCTAAACACACAATAACACATTGAGGTACAAGAATATTTCTTCTTCAATTTTTGTTTTTAGTGACAATCCTTAGTTTTTATAAATTTCTATGCATTTGTAAAGCTTTCATTATGAAGACTGCACTTCTCTTTGTATACTCTAATTGGAAAAATTTGGAAGTATATGGATTATGTAGCCCAGCCCATTTGAAAAGCAGAGGATCAGCATTTGCAATACAAGAGCACATTTTTGACACTTACTCTATAGTAATTCCTTTTTGCCTCAAACAGAAGAACAGGATTATTGTTTCTATAAGGACTGGCAGAGATCTGGCAAGCATCTAAATAAGGAATAAGCTCCCTTGGAAGTCAAACTTCCTCAGAAAATATTGGCACATAACTTGCAGCATAGGTTTTGAACGAAAATTTACGCTGCAAATTTCCAAGTCTAGTTATCATTAATTAGCATAGTTTTAGTTGTACCGGATAACTTATTATAATTAACTTAATTATATTTTCTATTAACAATTTGGAAATGCTTGCTAGAATTTTTCACTGAAATAACCACTGCAGTGATAAACCTGTCAGTAAACAAAGGAAAATACATGAGCTATTATATGTCTCTTAAAGACATATACAAATGTTATTATAACTCCCCCCATAGACAAGGATTTCAAACTATAGCTGGCCAGTAAATACCCTTTAAAAATTCTAATTGTGCATCTCTCTCCCATAGTGCTTTGAACTTGATGTTTATTGAAGATTGTATTACATATACCTAGGCCATCTGTCACAATATTTTTGAAACCATGTCAAAGTATTTATTTGAGAGTCCAAATTAAAATTTACACCAGGTAAGCAAACACTGTTGATTTAGTTTAAATCAAATCAGCCAGTTTTATTTGCATCCAGAAGGCCCATAAGTAACTTACAAACACAATATAAATTTAAACTATTATATCCAATGTCAAATTTAGATTATCTTTCTAAGTTGCTTTTGGATCTTTTGGCTGTAAATAAAATTGATTGATTTAGCTAAATGTACCTCTTTTTGGGGGGATTCTGTACTTAAGAGTTCAAGGGTAAATTGCACAGTAAATTGCCGGGACTTTTAAACATTCTCAACTTCTACTAAATTGTTATCTGCTGCGTTAACTTGATGATGATCTCATAACAACAAAAAACGTTTCCGTCCCAACTATGCATGTACATCTCACAGTTTCAGTTCTTTTCTTTAAACTTTCAACAAAAGCATAAACTGGTTCTATGTTTCTGTCATTTTCATAATGAAACTTGTATGATTTTGCATTAGTAATACAACAACTATGATTTAAGCCCATACAGTGTTTTCTTCCTCTGTTTAACAAATACTCACAAATGTTATGCTGTGCTGTTGTTTGTGTTTTTGAAGGCACTTGTATTCAACAAAGTGTGACAACTAAGTCTGAATCTGAAGGGTATAGTTTTAATAAGGAGTTAATCAAGAGATTACACAATGAAAAGGAATTCTGATACAAACCATAAACCGATCTGGTATTTCCAGATCGCAGTAAAATCAATCATATTTAGGTTAAATATAATTAATTCTTATTACATCATTATAAAAACATCTATATAGAAATAGGACTTAGCTACCAAAAAAAAATTTATCACTGATTTTTAATTCAATTTTATTGTAATTCAATTACATTAAGCAGAGCTCAGCAACTAGTAAATGTGAATTGTACTATATAATCAACGAAATGTTCGACTTTCATTTCCCAAGTAGCAATTCAGGTTGCGTGTCAAGTACTTTCTTTAAAAATTAAGTGGAATTTTAATAAGTTTGTAATCCATAGATTGCTGCTCTGAAAAAATATATATACAATTCCATTGGGCATTCTGAAAATCTTTGGATCCCAGCCATCAACACTAGTGATGCAGTACTATGGTATAAATATGCAAAAAGTTATAGGTGAAATGTAGTGACTTTTAAACTTGAAATTAGAAGTACACTGAAAAGCCAGCACCGCTCTTAGGAACCTGTTTCAGCATCAGAAGGTGGCTTGTTTTACTAGAAGATAAATGCACTTACATATTTTAAATGAGTTACAGGTATCCTTCAACTTCTGACGATTCAGTGACCATTCAGAATTACAATGGCGCTGAATAAAGGGACTTATGACCTATACCCAAACGTATGGCCACTGCAGTGCCTCATGGTCATGGGATCACAATTCAGGCACCCATACAATCAACATCAGGGATGCTGCAGTTGCCCCTACTTGCCTATCTTCCTCCCATCCACCCCACTGTTTCACATGAGCCTGCTTCCCATCTTGCTGGGTCCCACATGCCATCATGCACTTACCTCTTTCAAAGATTGCCTTTCCCAAAGAAAAATAGCTGATGCATCATGCAGCCTTCCTATATAATACTGGCTTGGTGCCATCTTGGAAATATGCCATTTTGAGAGTGGCCATAATTCTCAGATCTCAAGAACTGTGGCCACTTCTAAAATGGCACCAGTTTCCAGTATGGTATCAGGCAACTTCTGTATAGGTGAATGTGGTGGTGAATTGCTGCTTCTCTTTCTGAAAGACATTTTCTGAAGGTTGTCATTTGGAAAGAGAATCAGCTGATGTGACACACAACAATCTTGTGTGTCAGATTGGCACTCGCCTCCAGAATGACACAAAGGCACGCAGTTAGGCTGCATGTCACATTAGGATTGGGCACTCTTTTGGAAGTGAACTTTGGAAAAGATAAGTGGAGTGAGGCAGGAGAGGAGACACAAGAGTGCGGGACCCAGGGAAGCAGGAAGCTGTGGAAGGAGTGTCTCAGGAAGTGGGGAGGCCTGATGCAGGCCATGTGTGAGCTGGGGAGGAACTGCATTGTAGTCCTACATTAGGTGTCCCCCACCAGCTATGGCATTGAGCACTGAAGAATTGATGCTTTTGAATTGTTGTGTTGAAGGAGACTCTTGAGTGTCCCCTAGATTGCAAGGAGATCAAATCAGTCTTTGGAAGGACAGATACTGAAGCTGAAGTTCAAATACTTTTGCCACCTAATGAGAAGAGAAGATTCATTGGACCGTGATGTTGGGAAATTTAAGGCAAAAGGAGAAGGGGACAGCAGAGGATGAGATGATTAGATAGTGCCAGCAATGAACATGAATTTGAGGAAACTCTAGTAGATGGAGGAGTACAGGGGAACTTGGCGTGCTATGGTCCATGGGATTGTGAAGGGTCTGAGACAATTTAGCGACTGAACAAAAAAAATAATTTCCATGGGGAAAAAAGCTTGTAGCATGGAGAACAATTGTACATATTCCTAAAGCATCTGCAATATTTCGGGGGGGGGGGGGCGGGGAATCCTAATTAGAAGCAAAAAGGCATTTGTTAGATGTCTTTACAATTGTGTGTTTGATGTCATAAAAATATTCCAAGGAGTGATATTTTCCCATTTCATACAGTACACTGCAATATAAGCTACTGTTGTGTGCACCTAACAAGGTTCAATAAATAATCACCGCACCAGAAAAGTACAAAATGTTTCATTTCAACTTTAAACCAATTTTGACATCATTGAAAAAATATAATTACAAAATGACATAAATGTATCTGCCATGTTACCACAACTTAATGAAAACAATGTTCTTAATAAGGACTAGTTTCTTAAATACATACTGAAATATCAATAATTAGCATTCTGTCAAAATGGTCCAATAATGAAGTTATTATTTTAGGATTACGGTAGTTCACACTTGAATGTTATAAAATAATAGTTTTCATGCTTGTATGAAGATATCATCAAAAAATTAATACCAGATAAATAAGTGTCAAATTAAATAATATCATTAAGTGCAATATTTTTCAATGAAATTATGTACCAATTAAATCCTGATGAATTATTTAAAAAGTGCATACATTGTTCACATATTTCTTATAATTATAAACTGTCAAGTCAGAAGCAACAATATTGGGCACACTTCCAAGTTAGTTGAGTAGCATCTATTGAATTAAATATGGATAAACATTAATATCCGACATTCTGTATTTTTATATGAGTTGCAGTAGTTGTTGCTACTATGATACTATTTTTTTCTTATAAATATAGGTAATATGTAGATGAGAGTATGCAGATTAAGAGAAAATGAATTTCCTTAATTTTACTGCATAAAAAATTTAATAAAATGCCATGCTAGAATTAGTGTGGAATGTCATTAGAGTAACAGGTCTAACAGCCATAGTTTCTTGTTTGACCTTATTAGTTCCAAGATGTCTGGGGAGTCGACTCCTCCATAGCTGTGCTGATTAATAATTATAAATTCAGAGAGTACCAAGTTATGGAAAATCAGTATGCATTTCTCCTCTTCTCTACATAATTACCTGCTTTGATACATACATAGACTAAATTAACAGTAATTTCTAATGCCAGGGGCAGCCAAAGCTCTGGTAATAGTTTCAATTAATATAGTAACATGAGAGAAGAGTTTTCTCATGTTATTGTATTTTCTTAATCAGGCAGATGTCTATGGAAATTCTCAGACATCCAGGTCATGGTTGTCCCAAAAGTGCTTTTTCAAAAGTCAACTGGCCTTTGTTTTTTTCTTGAAGATGTTTTGCTTCTCATCCAAGAAGCTAAAGAAGCTTCATGGGTGAGAAGTGAAATGTCTTCAAAGAAAAAACAAAGGCCAGTTGACTTTTGAAAAAGCACTTTTGGGAGTTATCAGGCAGGGCAAATTACTGATTTAAAATTCCCTCCCCTTCCCCCCCCTTTTTACAACCCTAATAGTCCATTATTATTATTATCCATTATGGATTTTAGTGGTATTGTTTGGTGGGAAACAAAACTTTAAGCCATAAAATAGGCAGTAACAAAATCTCCACATGACAAAACAGAAAATTCCAGGTAGCCCTGCATACTAAATGGCAATACCCATTCGTTTGTGTCTGACTCTTGGTGATTCTATGGGCCAAGTCTCTCCAGATCTTCTGATCTTGCACTAGAGGTAGTCCTTGTTTTAGAATGGTTCATTTAGTGACCGTTCAAAGTTAAAACAGCCCTGAAAAAAGTGACTTATGGCCATTTTTCACACTTACAACCTTTGCAGCATCCCTGGGGTCACCTGATAAAAATTCAGACGCTTGGTAACTGGTTCATATTTATGACAGTTACAGTATCCTTTGGTTATATGATTCCCTTTTGCGACTTCTGAAAAGTAAAGTCAATGGGGAAGCCATTAACACACTTAACAACTGTGGCACTAACAACTGTGGCAAGAAAGGTCGTGTAGTGGGGCTAAATTCACTTAACATATGTCTCACCTAGCAACAGAAATTTTGGACTCAGTTGTGGTAGTTAAGTCCAGGACGACCTGTACTTCTTTGCCTGCATACTAAGCCTCCCTGAAATCTACTGTTTAACTTCAGCCGTCAAAAACATTGTACCTGGACTGATCTAGAGATGAATCCTTCTTTACAGTCGGGTTAGACTTTGCTCTGGATCTTATTTATTTGCTCTTGGCAGTTCAAAGTACAGGTAGTCCTTACAGCCACAGTTGAGCCCAAAATTTCTGTTGCAAGGTGAAACATTTGTTAAGTTTCACTTAAGTGAATTTTGCCTCATTTTACAAATGTACTTGCTGCAGTTGCTAAGTGAATCACTGCAACTGTTGCATTAGTAACATGGTTGTTAAATGACTCTGGTTTCCCCATTGACTTTGTTTGTCAGGTCACAAAAGGTGATTGCATGACCCTGGAACACTGCAACTGTCATAAATATGAGTCCGTTGCTAAGCATCTGAATTTGGTTTACGTGACCACTGGGATGCTACAATGGTCATAAGTGTGAAAAAGGGTCATAAGTCACTTTTTTCCAGGCCTGTTGTAACTTTGAATGGTCACTATATGAACAGGATGTGAAATTTTTGTTTTTATTATAATCGCATTATTCCAAATGAGGAACGTAAACTGTTGAGTCAAACTTTTTACTAAGTCTGCACTATTATTAATCTTCTCATCATTCCCATCACCCATCTCCTCCCACTTACAACTGTATGACTGTAACCTTGTTGCTGGTATCCTTACAATTTATATTTTTTCCTAATATGATTTGATTGCTTATTGTACCCTATGACTATCATTAAGTGTTGCACCTTATAATTCTTGACGAATGTATCTTTTCTTTTATGTACACTGAGAGCATATGCACCAAGATAAATTCCTTGTGTGTCCAATCACACTTGGCCAATAAAGAATTCTATTTCTATTTCTATTTTTTTTAATGTTTAATTTTATTAAAATACATATTTGACATTTACACAACATACAACCTATAAATACCTTATCATTTTTAAGCATTGTTTCATAGTGGACTTCCACCTGTTAATTTATTCTTCTTCCCCTATCTCTTAATCTATTACTCCTTCTTCCCCTCATTTTCCTTTTTTTTTCCTTCCCCTGTTATTATTTCCTCCTCCTTCTTCTTCTTGATGTCGGTTAGCGGTCTGCCATATATGATCCACCCCCACAGGGAACCCGCGTAACTTCTGAGGTAGATTTGGTCAATAGCCGACAATACATCGCTTCATCCATTCTCTCTTGCCGCCACGGCGCAAGACCGGGCGCTGCGAAACCGCCACAACTGCCAATTCCCACTAAAGCATCTTTATTCCACTTCCCACCACGGGGAGCCCGGCAAAACCCCTCGCAACCACGGATTTCTCGGTCTCAAGAGACATTTTTTTTAAAAGGGGGGGGGGCGGTTTCCACCAGACCATCCGGAACGGAACATAAGAGAACAAAACAAAAACACGGTCTCGGAGATGAGGAAAGCGCTCCCTCCCCCGCCTCGTCCCTCCAGCGTCTTACCTTCCTTTCGTCTCCTCAGGCAACGCGCTCCGGCTGCCCCGGATGTTGACCAGAGGCCGGGACCCGCGGGAGGAAAAATCCATAGAACACCGCAGAGAGCAGAGTCACACCCAACCTGCGCTTCCGAGATTCCAAGACTCGACTCCCCAAACTAATCTGATATAGTAGCCTATTCAGAGATGAGCAAATATGGCCCCTTTATGACCTATGGACTTCAACTCCCAGAATTCCTGAGCCAGCTTGGCTGTCTCAGGAATTCTGGGAGTTGAAGTCCACAGGTTGTAAAAGGGCCACAGTTGCCCACTCCTGGCCTATATACAAACGTGGTTGCCGAGGTAATTGTTGGCCAAAGATTGATAGGAGCAGACCGGTGTGTGTGTGGTGAGAAGAAATCTTAGCCAGAAAGAGCCGAATTCTATGGAAAGCGGATGTTTCAAGGAGAGGAGGGGAGGAAAAAAGTCTCTTTGAAGGCCATTCGTGGTTGTGACAAGGCTCAGCACCACAAAAATAATTAGCTTGAGGTGTTAGGTGTTAAGGATCTGTGCGTTTCGCTCTTATTTTTTTAATCCCCGTTGGGCAACCGAAACAACAACAACAACAAAAATAAATACATAAAAGCCGAGGGCAGCGGAAACTAAACTCCACTGCCGGTAACTCTAGGACAGAGGTCTTCAAACTTGGCCGCTTTAAGACTTGTGGACTTCAACTCCCAGAATTCTCCAGCCAGCGTCTTAAAGCGGCCAAGTTTGAAGACTTCTGCTCTAGGATTTCAGTGGAGGGAGGAAAAAAAAAAATTAATCACGTGCTTTCCTCCTCCGGAAGTAGACGTGGCCGGCTTCTTTGGGCGTTAGATGATTGGTAGTTGCCGGCCGTGTCGGACTGGCTCCCGCCGCAGAGAATGAAGCGGAGAAAGCCGGAGTCCCGCAGGGGGGCTGTGCTGGTGAACCTCTTGCTGTGGGGGCTCCTGGAAGCGAAGGCGGCGGCGGCGACGACGGTCGGGGGCAGCCGCTCCCTCCAGCAGTTTAACGACGACGTGCCTTTCCGAGTAAACTGGCCGGGCAGAGAATTCATCCTGGTGGGTGGCTCTCTGGCTGGAGATGGGACTTTTAAAAGACCGGGAGAAACAGAGGGAAAGGGGGCGAGCGGCGGGAAGAGGGACCCTGGGGAAGAGAGGAGAGGCGGACCGGCGTTGGCTAGGTTTTCCTAAGATTGGCTCGAACTGAAGGGGAGGGAATGGGGATTTTGCAGTATCCTTTCCCCCAGGAGTGGGGAGGGAATGGGGATTTTGCAGTATCCTTCCCCCAGGAGTGGGGAGGGAATGGGGATTTTGCAGTATCCTTCCCCCAGGAGTGGGGTGGGAATGGAGATTTTGCAGTATCTTTCCCCCAGGAATGGGGAGGGAATGGGGATTTTGCAGTATCCTTCCCCCAGGAGAGGGGAGGGAATGGGGATTTTGCAGTATCCTTTCCCCAGGAGTGGGGTGGGAATGGGGATTTTGCAGTATCCTTTCCCTGGAGTGGGCTGGGAATGGATATTTTGCAGTATCCTTTCCCTGGAGTGGGGTGGGAATGGAGATTTTGCAGTATCCTTGCGAGTGGAGTGGGGTGGGAATGGAGATTTTGCAATTTGGTTGCAAACATTTCGTCACCATTCAAGGAGACATTGTCAGTGCATTTTGAATTGGTGTTGTCTTTCCTCTTTTTTTTTTAAAGTAACAGTGATTGATCTCTGTGGGGTTGTCAGTTCCTGTACCTAGTGGAGCCTTTGTGCTCCAAGCACTTTCTCACACTGAAGGCGAGCTCCTTGTGTCATGCACAGCGAGTCACTCAGAGTCATCTATAAAACAGAATATTTGTAGCTTAGGGTTGAAATGTGGGGTCCTTGGTGCCTTCTGAGTTTGTTTGTTTGCAGATGTTTCATTACCCTAACTAGGTAACATCATCAGTGCTGGTACTGATGACGTTACCTAGTTAGGTTAATGAAACATCTGCAAGAAAGCAAGCGCAGAGAGCATCAAGGATCCTTCAGAATCATATTTTTATTATTTTAAACACTCAGTACTGGACATCCTCTATGGCCGTGATGGCAAACCTATGGCACATGTGCCACAGGTGGCATGCAGCATTCTCTCTGTGTGCATGTGAGTCATCGTCCCAGTTCAGCTCTGCCGCGCATGCGCACATGCCTCCCACCGGCCAGCTAATCACTGTGTCTCTGCCACACATGCATGGGGAGCAGGGCACATGAGGGGAGGGGTGTGTGCATGTGCGGAGGGGCACGTGGGGGGCACGCATGTGCGGGGGCGGAGTATGTGCTGGGGTAGGGTGCGTGCCGGGGGGCACACACGCATTGCATTTGGGGGGTTCAGGCGCGCTCCAGAAAAGGTTAGCCATCACTGCTCTATGGGAACACTGAATGAGATTGGATGACTGATATGATCCAGCAGGGTTGCTCTTTACCATTGAAGTTGCTGTTATTCTTTTTTAAGACAATTCCAGTTGTCCCCACAACAACAACAACCCTGTGAGGTGGATTGGGCTGAGAGAGAGTGGCCCAAATAATTGTCAGCGATAGATTAGAAAAAATGTAAGTCATTAAGGAAAAAAGGCTGATTTGGTAAATCAAAACTAGCTCAAAATGTCATTTAAAGCTAAAGTCAACATTTCCTCTTAGCTATTTACTTTAGACTTACTGAACTGGATCTTTTCCAGACATGTTGAACAATTTTCACAGTTCTCCACTAGTGGGCCATACACCTACAGGTTATGCAGTTTGGGGAAGGTTGTAGATAAGTGTTTGTCAACCTCAACAACTTTAAGAAGTGTAGACTTCAACTCCCAAAATTCCTCAGCTATTATTAAGGTTGATAAACATTATATTTTGATTGATTACATGCCATCAAGTTGCCAACTCGTAGCAACCACATAGATAATTTTTTACTTCCTTAGGGTATCACAGATAATACTTTGCTTTGCACTGCTCTGATTTTTGTAGTTATAGATACTTCACGGTATTTGAATATCCTTTCCAAGGTCTTCAGGGCTATTATCAAGTGCTAATCTGCATCTTATTTTTGTTTGCTTGTTTCTTTATAGATGATGGTTAAACCTAACAAGCAGAAGAAACATTGTATGAGACTATAAATATTGTTTAAATAAGGGTGTGTTTTTTTCACTGATGGAGAATAGCAATAGCATATTGTATACTGCTTCACAATGCTTTACAGTCTTCTCTTAAGTGGTTTACAGGGTCAGCATATTGCCCCCAACAATCTGGGTCCTCATTTTACCGACCTTGGAAGAATGGAAGGTTGAGTCAACCTTGAGCCGGTGAGACTCAAACTGCCAGCAGCCGGCAGTCAGCAGAAGTAGCCTGCAGTACTGCATTCTAACCACTGCATCACTACGCCACCAATCCAGAATAAGATGGATTATTGGCCATCTTTTTGGGGTTTATGAGCAAATACTTTTAGAGAAGAATTACATTTTCCATAATTGATGAGATACGTGCCACTGAATTATGTATGTCTAAAAATGTTATCTTTCAAGGTCTATGAAGGTTTATCTTCATGGATTCTGCTTTGTTACAGTGCTAAATTGCTAAAGGGCATGATGTACACACAGAAACAAAGCTATGGAGAAAACAACTCAGCAAAGAATACAGTAGGAACAAACAAACAGTGCACAATTTATGTGGATAGGCTGTAAATTAGTAAAACATAACCCTAATTTCCTCTGTGGAAGAAGTGTCTCCAGAGAATTATGCTTGATAAGTGTTGAAGATTCTCAGATATGTAGACCAATTACTTATTGTATAAGGTGATAAATGTTGGCTATGAGTAGTAGCGATACCTGCTTTCAGGCTGTGGTACTGATGAATCACCCTCTGTACAGCTGAGAGCATATCATGCAACTATTATTCAAGCACTAAAAAAAAAATTTTTTTTTGCAGAAGCTGTTTTATAATTGTTATTTATTTATTTATTTATTTATTTATTTATTTATTTATTTAATTTATATATTGCCCTACTCCCAAAGGACTCAGGACGGTGAACGGCCAAGATAAAATACACATAATATAAATATTAAAAACCATTTAAATATATTAAATACCATGGCCCGAAAACAAATTTAAAACCCCCAATTTATAAAACAGATTTAAAATTTAAAATGATTTAAAAAGAGGTTAGGACAGGCCAGCCTGCTGGAAAAGGAAAGTTTTAAGGGCACGGCAGAAAGCACGCAGATCCGGGATCCGCCGTATCTCAGGGGGGAGCTCGTTCCAGATGGCAGGTGCCCCCACAGAGAAGGCTCTCCCCCTGGGCGCCACTAGTCGACACTGACCGACGGCACCCTGGGGAGCCCCTCTCTGTGGGGGCGTACTGGTCTGTGAGAGGCTACTGGTGGCAGAAGGCGGTCTCGTAGATATCCTGGTCCTAAGCCATGGAGTGCTCTAAAGGTGGTAACCAAAACCTTGAAGCGCACCTGGAAGACCACCGGGAGCCAGTGCAGCTCACGCAGGAGGGGCATCACATGGGACTGCCATGTTGCTCCCATAACCACCTGCACGGCCGCATTCTGGACCAGCTGGAGCCTCCGGGTGCTCCTCAAGGGGAGCCCCATGTAGAGAGCATTACAGTAGTCCAGGCGGGAACTGACGAGGGCATGAGTGACTGTACTTAACGAGTCCTGATCCAGAAAGGGCCACAACTGGCGAATCAGGCGGACCTGATAAAAAGTCCTCCCAGCCACAGCCATCAAATGCTCTTCTAAAGACAGCTGTGAGTCCAGGAGGACACCCAAGTTGTGAGCCCTCTCCGTGCGGGCCAACGACTCGCCCCCAATAGTCAGTGATGGCACCAACTGACTATACCGGGACGTCGGAAACCACAGCCACTCAGTGATATGTTATTTATAATTAATCGAATGTCTTTTTAACTTCTCTAGTCATGGGGTAGAAAGGGAGCTTGCTTTAAAATTTCATTTGTAAACATGACACTGCTTGCATCTTAATCAAATGGCTTATTTAACAATGATGTTTTCTGTAGCTCTAAGTATAGACCCGAATACTGTATATAGCAAGTCTGTAAACTAATTTTTAGCTAACAAAGGCCCACTTGCTTGTTAGTAATGTTTGTTTGTGTTTCTTCCCCTTAAGCCTACTGCTGGGGTTCTATACAAAGAAGATTATTACATCATTATGACAACAGCAGATAAAGAAAAATACAAGTGCATTCTTCCAGTATTAGCTAATGGAGATGAGGCAAGTTATTCTAGACCCGATTATAGAAACTAACAATAAGTGGTGTATAAAATATTTAAGATGCACAGAAGGAATTAAATCCAATACAAGAGCATGGTTCTTTAATTACTGTGAATTGTTAACATGCCAGGTATGTAACTTGACATAAGGATGTTTTAATTGATAATTGGCAAAAGAATACCTTGTGTTAAAAATTAAACATGCACCATAAAATGCATTTTAACTTGTTCAGTTTGAGTATAGTCTTGAAAGCATGTATCTTTTAAGAGCCATCTATACTCCAAATTCTTTTGGAAAATGATTTAATTTGTGATATAAAGTAATCTCATTTTAAAATTGGCTCAATATATTGATTAAATAGAATATGTCATATCTGTTATTAAGATGTTTTTATTTACAATAGGCTACTGAGATATCAAATAAAATCCTTGGACAAATAAGCAATATTATGCTGATAATTTTATCTAGCTGTTAATTTTTTTGATATTAGGAAATAATATTGTTTTATAGGTGGTTTTATAAAGGGTGAGCCTTTGTAGGTCACAACATGGCCATAAAAGGCATGTATTAACTTAGTAAAGATTTATGCTGTAAAAACTATTCTGCAAAATTCAAAAGCAGTTTAATTCAGGGAAGGTATATCTGGTGTTTATATTCATAAATTCTTCAGATAGTTTAATGGTTTTTTAGATCATGTTCTATTTCTTGAATTTGAATTGAAGAAATTCAGATTGAATCCTGTTCAGTTTTTGAAAAAGTCTATGATATTCTGTTGCATGAATAATAGAAATATTAACTTTCTAATAAATATGAAAGCTGGTTTGGGCCTTGGGTTTATAAATTCTTGATTTATTTTCTAGTAATTTGTTTTTTCCTGTAGATTTTTAGAAATGTAATAAAATAAATTATACAGTGCATATACAATTAATAAAATTCCTAATATTCTTAATTCATTCAAGATAATAATGCTATCCAATTATTTTTATTTTAGGAGGAGGAAAAGGATTATAAAGGGCCAAGCCCAGCTGAACTGTTGGAACCTCTGTTCAAGCAAAGTAGCTGCTCTTATAGAGTATGTTTACTTTGGTTTGAGATAAGTAGTTCTAAATCCCGAATAAATTGATTTAAACACTTATAAATTTGATATACTACGTAAAAATTTGTATTACTTTCCTGTGAAGTTTTTTTAGAATAGCTTTTATTTTAAAAAATGTACATATATATTAAGAAAAATGTTCCTACATGGTGGGTAGTGCAGAATCTTTCCATCTTTGTGCATATAATAGTCTCACCACAGTAATCATATATTGAAATAATCTTCCATGACTCTTTTCTAGCTGTATTCATAAGCCCTGAAACAAAAACTTCTAGCTGTAATTGAGTATTAGTCTTTAAAATGCTCTGTATTCCTGTGAGTATTTGAATCTAAAATTATTTAGCTTTTACATGTCCATCAAGCGTGATACAACATCCCTTCATATTGTTCCCATTTCCAATATACATTTGGAATGACTTTTTACATTCTAGATAATTTCTCTGGCATTATTTGCCAACAATACCTCATTTTATAAAAATACTCTTTAAGATTGTAGCATAATGTAAATATTCAACCCTTTTAAATTGTTTAATTTGACTGTCCAAAATCAGAATATATGTGTCAATTCATGGAATATATTTTTAGATTGAATCATACTGGACTTACGAAGTTTGTCATGGTAAACACATTCGTCAGTATCACGAAGAGAAAGAAACTGGGCAGGTATGTATAATTTCACCTCAAATATATTAAAAAAACATTAAATTAGCATTTTGTACTAAACTTCAGGTCCTTCTAAATAATTGCTTTAACAAAGATTAAATCATTGGAGGAGAAGAGATGGTTATGAAAATAAATGAAAATGTCTTTCTTGTTTATAGAAAATAAATATTCAAGAATATTATCTTGGAAATACGCTGAAAAAGAGCCCACCACTAGATCCAGGTGGGTTACTTTGTTTTTAAGTGCTAATGAATAAAATAGGATAAATGGCCCATGTTACATTGTTATTCCGTGAGCTGCACTGGCTGCTAGTTTGCTTCTGCATGCAATTTAAAGCCATATAAGTTAACTGAACTAAGTTAACTATCTCACCCCATTGGGATTGAGCTGCCCTACTTATGCCAGCAGAAGGGGCATGCTTCTGTCAAGGAATTTTGGCTGGCAGGGTCCACAAGAGCCTTTTCTGCCATGGTGCCTGTCCTTTGGAACATTCCGCCGCCACCCCCCTCCCCCCCAGTGAGATCCGCTTCCATCCTTCTGACCTCCTATTAGGGCCCAAAGACCTGGCTCTGAACAAGGGTGTATCACGCTGGAGGTGGTTTACGGATTAAGTGAAGACCCCACCTTCCCCCCCCCCTGTGTACCCTGGTTCCTTTCTCCCTACCTTTTTAATTGTAATCTTCATTGTTATTAGAACTATTTATTTGTAATGGTTTTACTGGCTTTTATTGTTGTAAGCCATCCAGAGTTGCCTCGAGAGATGGGCAGCAAACAAATCTAATAAATAAATAAATAGCCATTATGACTTATTCATGAAAGAAAATAATAAGAGTAAGGCTTAAACTGTATAGAAAATATACCTTCTCTAATTCTCAGTGAAAATGTGATTCCAGTAAAAGTTAAACTTCATTAATTACCTCTTTTTTCATTTTATCATACAGGTAGTCCTCAATTTACAACTATTACTGAGCCTTGAAGTACAGTAGTAAATCATGTGGTTCTTAAGCAGTCACCACATGACTGAATCTGATTTTACAACCTTTTTTTGGTGGTCATGGTTAAGCAAACATCATGATTGTTAAAGAAACACTGCGGTCGTTAACTGAACCCATTTTTCCAGTGGGTGTTTTTTGTCAAAAACTGGAAGTAAACACTGGAAACCAACAAAAAACATCACAAATCACTGTCATGTGACTGCAGAACCCTGCAAAAGGTCATAAATGCAAGCCAGTTGCCAAGTATCCAAAATGTAATCACATGACTACACAGAGGTTGTCATTGGCACTTTCGAAAATGAATCTTAAGTAACTGGGAAGGTCCATTGTAACTTTGAATGGTTGCTAAGAGAGGACTATCTGTATACTGATGTTATCTTGCTGTTTGATTCCTTGTTTAGAAAGAATTAGTCAATTACATGAAAGAATAGGATAGGATAGGATAGGATAGGATAGAATAGAATAGAATAGAATAGAATAGAATAGAATAGAATAGAATAGAATAGAATTCTTTATTGGCCAAGTGTGATTGGACACACAAGGAATTTGTCTTGGTGCATATGCTCTCAGTGTACATAAAAAGAAAAGATATATTCATCAAGAATCATAAGGTACAACACTTAATGATAGTCAGAGGGAACAAATAAGCAATCAAATCATATTAGGAAACAGTCAATATAAATTTTAAGGATACCAACAACAAGGTTACAGTCATACAGTCATAAGTGGGAGAAGATGGGTGATAGGAACAATGAGAAGATTAATAGTAATGCAGACTTAATAACTAGTTTCACAGTGTTGAGGGAATTATTTGTTTAGGAGAGTGATGGTGTTTAGCAGAGTGATGGGAAAAAACTGTTCTTGTGTCTAGTTCTGGTGTGCAGTGCTCTATAGCATCGTTTTGAGGGTAGGAGTTGAAACAGTTTATGTCCAAGATGCGAGGGGTCTGTAAATATTTTTATAGCCTTCTTTTTGACTCGCGCAGTATACAGGTCCTCAGTGGAAGGCAGGTTGGTAGTAATTGTTTTTTCTGCAATTCTAATTATCCTCTGAAATCTGTGTCTGTCTTGTCGGGTTGCAGAACCAAACCAGACAGTTATAGAGGTGCAGATGACAGACTCAGTAATTCCTCTGTAGAACTGGATCAGCAGCTCCTTGGGTAGTTTGAGCTTTCTGAGTTGGCACAGAAAGAACATTCTTTGTTGTGCTTTTTTGATGACATTTTTGATGTTAGGTGTCCATTTTAAGTTTTGAGATATGGTATAACCTAGAGATTTGAAGGTTTCTACTTTTGATACAATACTGTTGTCTAGTATTGTAAGAGGTGGTAGTATGGGAGGGTTTCTCCTAAAGTCCACCACCATTTCTATGGTTTTGAGTGTGTTCAGTTCCAGATTGTTCCGGTCGCACCACGTGGCTAGTTGTTCAACCTCCCGTATGCGGATTCATCATTGTCTCAAATGAGACCTATCACTGTTGTGTCGTCCGCGAACTTACAGTAGTTTAACAGATGGATCATTTGAGATGCAGTCATTGGTATAGAGAGAGAAGAGAAGTGGAGAGAGAGCACAGCCTTGTGAGGTCCCTGTGCTAATGGTACAGGTATCTGATGTGATTCTGCTTAGCTGTACCTGCTGCTTCCTGTCTGTTAGGAAGCTTATGATCCACTTACAAGTATGTTCAGGTACTACTAGCTGGTTTACCTTAGTTAGAAGAATGTCTGGAATGATGGTGTTGAATGCTGAACTAAAGTCTACAAAGAGGATCCTTGTGTAGGTCTTTGGAGATTCAAGATGTTGTAGCATGTAGTGCAGAGCCATATTAACAACATCATCTGTTGATCTATTTGATCGGTATGCAAATTGCAGGGGGTCTAACAGTGGATCCGTGATGGTTTTCAAGTAGGACAGCACTAGCCTTTCAAAGGTTTTCATGACTACAGATGTTAGAGCAACTGGTCTGTAGTCATTCAGTTCCTTGATGGTGGGCTTCTTCGGCACTGGGATGATAGTGGAGCGTTTAAAGCAAGAAGGAACGTAGCTCATCTCTAGCGATTTATTGAAGATATGGGTAAAGATGGGGGCCAATTGGTCAGCACAGACTTTTAATTAAGGAGTTGTCTGGGCCTGGAGCTTTTCCTGGCTTTTGTCTGTGAAATAGGTCTTGCACTTCCTTTTCTGTGATCACTAGGGGTTGGGAACCCAATGGGATGGGGTCAGTTGTAGGAGACTTGGCTGTTGTTGATGTGTCTGAGATGGGGGTTGTGGAGATTAGTGGCTGTAGTTTCCTTTCAAACCTGCAGTAAAACACGTTCAGGTCATCTGCCAGTTGTTGATTTCCTTCAGCCTGGGAAGGGGGTTTGCCGTAACCAGTGATATTTTTAAGAGTTTTCCACATGTTTGCTGGTTCATTTGTTGAGAACTGATTCATAGTTTTTCAGAGTAGCTTCTTTTCAGAGTAGCATGAGGAATTATTTATTTATTTAGCGTATGGCATATCATACATGGACTAGCAAAATAAATTAACATTTCAACTAGATTAGTAGAGCCCAATGAAACACAAATGTCAAAAAGATCTATGTTCAAATATCAATGTCTAGGCCATTTAACCATTGAAGTGCAGCATTGTTTATATTTTAAAAAATCAGATACTGGACCAATATATGCCCTCCGCTTACAGCCAGTCACTATGTGATCTACAGTTTGAAATGGGACCCCGCAGTCACACCGAGGGGAGGATACTATACCCCATTTATACAGAGTCCCAACAGACAACATGTGAGGTGTGAATCCTATTCAGGATTGTCCATTGCTGACGTGGCACCTGTTTTGTGGGTCATTTATATGTCTTCCTATAACTGGTCATTCAGTGACCCATTTGGCTTTCCATTGGGAATTGATGTTAAAGTTGTTGGGCAGATATTGTGCAAGTGCCAGTCAGGGCTTCCTAGATTTGAGTCTTCCTGCTGATAAATGAGGAAGGTTGGCATGCACCAGAAGGAGTGAATTGTTCACAATTTTTCTGTATTGTCTCACTAGTGCATTGCAGTGCTATTTGGCGCAGAACAGGAAGCCAGCAAATTGGAATGGCTTTAATACATCCACTTATAATCCTCATGGTGTTGTTGAATCTGGTGTCTAACTTACTAGTATGGCAGCTGTTAAGCCATACAGGGGCACAGCATCTCCCCTATAGGGCAGCTCTGGGCAGTTTACAGATTAGAAAAACAAATAGAAAAATAATTAAATATATTAAAGTATTAAAACCATACAAATTAGAATTTTAAAATTATACAAAATCCAAAATTAAGTGGAATGTGTAGCATTTTGTGCACGCTACCATAATATAATATATATGAGAGTCAGTTTGGTCTAGTGGTTAAGGCACCAGACTAAAAAGCAAGAGACCATGAATTCAAGTCCTTCCTTAGTCTGAAAGCCAGATGGGTGACCTTGAATCAGTCCCTTTCTCTCACAGAGTAGTTGTTATGGGGAGAATAGAAGGAGAAAGGTGTGTTGGATATGTTCGCCACCTTGAGTTTTTTGTGAAAATAATAAAGGGATATAAATAAATGAATAAGATAATAAATGAATTCTATATTCCCCTCAGCTAAGCTCACAGATGGAAAATAAGCCCAAGGTACTTCTTTGTGTTTTAACATTTTATGAAAATGCCTGTTCATGCATTTGTACTTTTTCATAATTATTGAATCAAATCAAGATCCTCAAACCTATAACTAATAATTTATCTTTGAATAGCCATACTATCTTATTCCATACCGACTTTATGTTACACTCAGTCAAGTATTAGAATTGTGCTAAAAGTAAATATTTCTTTCAAAAGATTTAGTTTTCTGGTATAGAGAAATGAAAATACAAGTATTAGTTACTGGTGGTAAGTAGAGGGGTGTTTTTTTCTCAATATTTTCCAGATCAAGAAGAAAACGAAATTGAAAAAGATACTGCAAAAGAGGCAAGTGAGAAAACTGGAATTTCACTTATCCTATAGCCAGCTTTTCTTAGTAATTCATATCTGCTCTTAAATTTCTGTAGTTCCACTTTTCATTGTGGTTAATGCATGCTTGCTTTTCTTGTAGCATAAGACAAAAAATAATACTGACAAATGTGGTTTTATTTATTTATTCAATTTGATGCCACCCAACTCCAAATAACTCTGGGAAGCTCACAATATACTAAATATTATTGAAACCAGTGTAATTAGAAGAAACAAACAACAAAACCAAACTAGACCAGAAGAAAAAGAAAGAACAAGATAGTAAACTCAGCAGACACCATAAATATCCCACCACCTCCATGCAGCACAGGGGGTTCCAGCCAGCCTAGCCCAAGGCCTGGAAGAATAGCAAGATCTTTTTTTAGTCCTCCAAGCACCAACAGGATGGGAGCCTTATTACAGAAGACAATGTCAAAAAAGTTACTAAGAAGTAAATAAATTTCTTAGTACTTTTTTTTTAATAGTCTTTATTTACATTTTCCTTTAAAAACAAACAAAAAAATAACAATACACCATATAAATAACGTACAACACAAAGAACATTACAAATAGCACACAAGTGATAGGTACAGATGGTACCTTCATATCTGAGTATTCAATATAATATTACATTCCAGGGGAGATAGAGCAACTCATCTCTCTTAATATATCAATTAGGTCTAACCGACCTCACTTAATATAGTTTCCTCCTTAACAATCCTTCCATATTTATTTTGGGTTATGATATTCTCTTCTCTAGCCAAATATATAATTTCTCCCAGAATAAACATGTTTGTGTTTGGTCCTTATCTTTTAATTTTTTGGTTAATTTATCAGCTTCTGCACAATCCAGGATCTTTTTTATGATTGCTTCCTCTGATGGGATATTCTGGTTTTTCCAATGTTGAGCGTATATCAATCTCGCTGCTGTAATAATGTGAAGAGCTAAATACCATGAATCTTTCTTGATCTTATCCGGTTTGGAGCCGAGCAAGCATGTCTCTGGTGACCATTCAATTTTTTGTTCTAAAATCTCATTCAATCATTTTTTAATTATCCCCCAAAATTTTTTTGCTTCCTGGCATGTCCACCATTGATGATAATACGTGCCTTTTTCTTGCCCACATTTCCAACAAACCGCCGATTGTCCAACAAACATTTTAGCCAGTCTATCAGGGGAGAGATGCCACCTATATATCATCTTATAGATATTTTCCTTGTAGGTCATGGAGACTACTAATTTCATATTTTCCCACCATATCCCTTGCCATTTATCTAAGTGAATAGGGTACCCAAAATTTTTCCCCCAAGCAATCATTGTGTCTTTGATTATCTCATCACTTATCTCTAAGTCCATTAGTAATTTATAACTTTTTGAAATCATGCCTTTTTCTTGGCCCATCAAAATTTTATCTAATTTTTGTAACTCCACATATATGCCTTTTCCATCTCTGTCTTTTTTGAATTTGGATTGGATCTGCAAATAGGTCCACCAATCTATTTGTATTCCTAATGAGTTCAATTCCTGTTTGGATTTTAGTTTACTCTGTACATTCAATAAATCCTTGTATGTTAATTTCTTTGTTGGGTTATAAAGTTTGGGATATGTCAATGCTTCCACAGGAGATATCCAGCATGGTGTTTTAATATAATATTTTTACTGATCTTTTCCCAATTTCGAATTAGAATGTTTCTTATGTAATGTCTAGTAAACCATTTACTTTGTAAATTTCTTAGTACTTTTGATTACATTCAGACCATTTGGTTTTCTCTATGGTGAAAGACTATTTGTATCACTTTCCAAGATAATGCTTATATTTCTCTCTATATTTTACAAATCTAGATTCCAACAAAAAACATAGAAGGGCAGATGACTCCATATTTTCCTGTAGGAATGGGAAATGGCACACCTTGTAGCCTGAGACAAAACCTTCCCAGATCAAGCACAGTGATGTACGTCTGCCACCCAGAAGCAAAGCACGAGATACTTTCTGTGGCTGAAATCACTACTTGTGAATATGAAGTGGTTATTTTGACTCCTTTGTTATGCAGCCACCCTAAATACAGGTAAGGAATTGAGACAACAGCTATCGTTGTAGGCTAGAATTAAAATAAAATGTTCTATAACTATCTTTTTTAATTCTTCTTATCACCACTCTTAGTAGTGTTTCCAGATTATTGCTTTAGGTGAGATTTACTTTACTCTTACAAAATGAAGTACTCAAGGCAAGTTCTGTCCTTTTCCCCCTATAAAATAAGGGGATCACTAATCCATGGTATATTATTTCTCTGCCACTTTTTCCTCTTTCTTTCTGCATGACTGCTCGTTATTTGTATTTCTTATATCCAAGAATGCTTGCCTCACTTTTACAGGCATAGCTAGAGAGAAGTCAGTGGACTTAACCAGACAAACATGACAAATAAATACATTTTAGCTTTTTTAATATTGCACTCCAGGCTATGATTTAAACATGTGATTCCTATGTGATATTTTCCTATGACCCACAGATCACCAGTGTATGCCATTTCATACACACCAATTGAAAGCTTAGGTGCCTATAACACTATACTAAAATACCATCTTAACATTCTGGATGGACTTAGGTGCATTTTTTCTACTTTATCTAAATATGCATTACACTCTGAGCCACTGTATGCTGTGATTATTGAGAAGCTCAGTATAAACTTTTCTTGTTCTTTGGACAGATTCAGAGCTTCCCCGGTGAATGACATATTTTGCCAGTCGCTGCCAGGATCACCACTTAAACCTCATAAATTGGAGCATCTAGAACAGCAGCAAGAAATGATGAAGATGCCATTTAGAAGAGCCAAAGAGGTTGGAAACTGGAAGTGCGGGCATTGATGTCATGTTTGGGGCATAAATTGCAACCACCCTCTATCATATCTGGCTTTTTTGTTACTATATGTGTACATACTATTTAAAAAAAAAACAAACCAGAAAACATTTAGAAGGCTGTTCAATTCCAGATGACTTTGGGTGGCAAATAACAACAAAAACAAATATGAAAATAATTAATCAAGAAAAGTACAGTAATTAACCTGAAGGGAATAATCCATATCCTTGCACACATACTATTAATTAGCAGCCATTGAGCCTCATAAACCCTTTTAAGTCAGTTCTGAATCTGCCTGCCTTTAACATCAGTGGATGACCTAATATTGACAAAGAGGAAGAAGACTTCTGTGTATATTATTTATGTTATGCTTGCTCTTATATACCTCTCAGACAAAACCAAAGTTATTTTTCCTGTTTGTATGCATTGTTAGTATGCAGAAGCAAAGAAGATTGTGAGATTGACACATTATTATCATTACATTAGAGCAGCCATAGCTTTGTTGCCTGGATATAACAGAATTGTAATCAAACATAACTGGAGAGCATTAGATTAAAAAAAAACATTCACATTTAGAACACTGCATTCCTTGGGTTTTTTGCTTGCATTTATATATTGTAATTTGGTCCCTGAAATTAATATTTTATATATTTAAGACTATAATGTGAGTGCGGCATGTGAGTATTTTCTGATACAGACAGAGGATGCTGACTAAGGCTCCCCTGGCATTAATCTTAATGTGCATGGTAAGGAAACATCAGTTGTCTTTAAATCTTAGTAATTTTTAATTTGCAGGAAGAAATCAATTCAGCAAAAGAAGAAAAATTTTCCTCCTTCCACAAGCCGGTTGCTGTTGGAACCTCCCAGCTCTTAACAGTTGGAACAACACACATCTCCAAACTGACAGATGAACAGCTCATTAAAGAATTTCTTAGTGGGTCTTATTGCTTCCATGGGGTGAGAGAATCACAATTTATGAACTTTTTTTTATATATATTTTATATGATTTGCAGGGTTTGTATACAATCCGGATATGGAAGTGATTTTCTATATCTCAAAGCAGACTTTATGAGGCTTATACATACCTGTTTCTGAAATAATTATAATACTTTAAAAAATAGCCCTCATGAGAGTCTCAAACAGGTTCTACTCATAGTTTTATTACCTCCAATGTTTCCCTTTTGCGTACAATTCCTTTTTTAAAAAGTCCAAAACTTTATAAACAAATATGTACTCAGTGTGTATGGATCACATTTTCCCAAATGTAGCTCTCAAAAAGCTTTCTCTTGGCTGCCATTTCTCCAAACATATGTATGGTTTAAGGAATTCTTGGGATCAGCCAAAGAAAAGACAACACATTGGGTCTTTATTCATAGCATAATCAAGGATAAAAGGAGATTGGACTCTACCAAATGGACTCAATGAGGTAATAGACATCCCTATTAATACATTTAAATAGAATTTAACTCCCCTTTTTTCTGCCTTCAGAACAGCATAATGTATTGTTTTATTACCTAATTGCATTTACCATTCTGAGTTTAACCCTCTACCAATAACATGTCACTTTTACTAATATATCAGTAAGGTTATATTAGAAGAGCCTTGGTAGTACAGTGGTCTAAAGCACCCTGTTATTAAGACCAGCTGCCTGCAATTACTGCAGGTTCGAATCTCGCCAGGCTCAAAGTTGACTCAGCCTTCCATCCTTTCTAAGGTAGGTAAATTGAGGACCCAGTTGTGGGGGCAATTAGCTGACTTTGTATAAATATACAAAAGGATGAAGGCTATTGCTTAGCACATTGTAAGCCGCCCTGAGTCTCCGGAGAAGGGCGGCATATAAATCAAAAAAAATTTTTTTTTAAAAAAAAAGGTAAAGGTTCCCCTCACACATATGTGCTAGTCGTTCCTGACTCTAGGGGGCGGTGCTTATCTCCATTGCAAAGCCAAAGAGCCAGCACTGTCCGAAGACATCTCCGTGGTCATGTAGCTGGCATGATTAAACGCCAAAGGTGCACGGAACACTTTGGCCTTCCCACCAAAGGTGGTCCCTATTTTTCTACTTGCGTTTTTAATGTGCTTTCAAACTGCTAGGTTGGCAAAAACTGGGACAAGTAATGGGAGCTCACTCTGTTACGCAGCACTAGGGATTCGAACCACTGAACTGCTGACCTTTCGATCAACAAGCTCAGCATCTTAGCTACTGAGCCACCATGTGTGTGCCTACCTTAAACGGTAGTTGCTGTTAATTTCCCCAAAAAGTTAATGAAAGGCTTTAGTTAATACTCAACTGGCAACCTTTTATGGTTAGCACAATCTTGATGTTCTGCTTGGTGTCTTCTTCTACACTCTTTCCAGGCATTTGTAACAGACAGAAAAATCCCTTGCCATACTTTTCCCAGTATAATGATTTCTGTGCCATCTTCTCTTTGATGATCTTGAACAATCCAGGAATCTTCAGCAACTAAGGTTGCTTAAGCCCAATTTTACCCGGAAACCATTTTATCCTTTCCTTTCATTCCAACCCCAATTGCTTCCTACTAGATTATAATCCTATCTCTGTGCAAGAGAGCGTATATGATAAATCTAATATGGTTTTATTTTCCTCAGCTTTTTTCCAGGCTCAGCTGATCAGCATAGTGCAGTTTGTATGTCTAGAAAATTGGCAGGAAGAGAATGTCCAGAGGCAGATGATGCCCATCTTTTCCATTTTACATATGTGCATATATTCCCCATAGAATAATTTAAGGCACCCTTAAATTATTCTCATTCATAATACAGAATATTGGGCATATGCGTGCCAAGCATTAGAACACCCATTCTGAGTTTAAAAGGAGGCTCTTCTTCATTTTGATATGGTTTTCTGTATATCAATAGGGAAAAGGAGAGGGAACAGTTAACTTAAATCTTAAGGAAAACAATATATGACTTGGAAGTAAATGCATTGTTTTGTACTGCATGCATTTTTTAATATCCCAAGAGCCTACAATCTAATGATACTCAATTTTAATACATGTTTCAAAATAAAACTGGAATTTTGCAATACAGAAAGTGAAATAGAAGTATCAGATGGGGTAGAGGGAATTATTTAAGCAGTACTGTTTGTCAGACTAGAACAAATACTAATCAGTCTAGTTCTCATGGTGAGCAATCTATTTCTGGTCAATATAACTTGGGTGCTGAACTATAACATAAGTACAGAAGGCTTACTCTGTGTAATGTCAATTTTGTTAATTTGCATATTTTGTATAAATAAAAGTGTTGTAAAGGAAGTCTTAGCATGAGACCAGAAATCACCTTTTTATCCTTTTATCTCAAAAACTTTGGCAAAGCACATTTCATAGATTAAAATTGTCTAAGCTTCCAGAACAGAGCAAAGTGGAAATTGTGGCTTATTTAATTTCAGTTTGGTCTAGTGGTTAAGGCACGAGGAAAGTGTAAGTTCTAGTCTTGCTTTAGCCATGAATTCCAGCTGGGTGACTTTGGACCAATCACTCTCTCTCAATCCAATCCACCTCACATGGTGAGTGCTAGATATGTTCATCCCCTTGACTTATTTATAAAAATAATAAGGGTGAAATAAAAATACACAAAATATATTAGTAGTTGTACTACTGAATTTTACTCTGTCTAAATGTTATAAACCTGTTTCTCTTTTAGGGTGTTGGCTGGTGGAGATATGAATTCTGCTATGGCAAGTACGTGCATCAGTATCACAAGGTATAAATAAATAATCATTGGTAGTCTGTTCCACTAGATGGCTACATGATTCTGTTTTTGTCCATAAAGAAGAATATGAAAGTACAAATTTAAAGTTCTTAAATTCATTGTTGCCTTTACTACTGGGCTCTATAGAGGTGAAATATAGGAAGTCACCTAACACTATATTAGATCTTTGGCTCCCCTAACGCAGCATTCTGCCCTGGAGGTGATCTGTTCAGCACCGCATACAGGTAACTCTGTGGCTTGATCCCCGAAATGGGCAGAAATATTCATTCGTCACCTACCCTTCCCCACCCCTTTTTTGTCTTTTTTTAATTTTGTCCCAAGGAGTCAGGGAAGGGGAAGGAGATAGATTATTCCTATTTTTAATCTATTTTTATTGTACATAGTATCTTTTCTTCTCCCATCTCAAAACCTTTTCAGGATTGTTTTGGTCAGAAAGGTTTTTGAAAATATTTTCCCTTTCATTTCTGTCCATTTCAGATTTTCTCTTTTTATCCGCTCCTGCATTTATCTTCTCTCTGGGCATTCCCTTCAGAATGAAATAAAGAGTAACATCTTCCTTATCTCTGACCTACATAAACTGGGAACAGTTCTTTTGGGTTTCAGCAATCTTCACATCTGTCTACTCTCAAAGATAGAATCTGACACCTACTGCATGCAAAACACATGCAGCTGCATCAAGCTATAACTGTATGAGGTTCAGCTGTAATAAAAATGGACCAATATTCAGTTATGTACCTTGGTCTGTCTCTGATATTGTCAACCCAGGATGGACAAACCAGTAGCCAGGCATTAAAGCAATGGTAGCATTTGGGTGGTTAGAGATGTTACTTTAATTCTGCCTCATAATACCGTAAATGCTAAGAATGGACTGTTGGACACTTACCATGAAGAGGGTTTTCAGTTTGTTATGATGGAGGTGTCCAAGCATAATTAATCACTCCTATTGCTCAAGGGGAAAGGGATCATACGACTTAAAGTCACCTATTACATTACTAATTCCCAGATCCTCCTTCCTGTCTTCATTCAGCCAACCACCCTTTACTAAGAATAGCAGAACATGCTCATCAAGACATAACTAAGGATAAACAAAAGAAAAACAGACTTCTAGTTAGTTAAAACCATTGCCATTTAAATATAACGGGGAAAGCCTAATTGAAGCCAATTGGATTCATAAGGGTATTTTTACCATATGGAAACTGTCACAACAGCATGAATATTGATTATTGTCTACCTTAGAATTTCTGTTTAGGGTGGTCTAAAATACAGACTTATGCATGAATTTTTAAATAAGTTACCAAGAAAATAAATTACTTATTTTAGGATAAAGAAAATGGCAAAACAACTATAGTTGTGGGGACATGGAACAAAGAGGAACACCTTGAATGGGCACAAAAGAATGTGGCTAGAACATATCACCAGAAAGACGATGACCTGCAAACAGTCAAGTATGCACAATTTGGCTTTAAAACTATGGCTTAGAAAGAAGTACAAGCTGCTTTGTACTTGTAAAAATAAGTGTAGACTGCAGCTGACTTTTAAGTCCCGGTTTCTTTCACTATCCAACCCAGGATGGAATTTTCAGTGTTGCATAATATTGTATTTCATGCTTTTAAATTTTTAGATGCCCCTTCACTGTATCTTGGAAAAATATTTATCAGCCCACCTATAGATGGATGGGTGGGTATTGCTGCCTTTCTAAGAAATGCTGGTTGTAAAGATGGATTGTATATTATATTCTTTTGTACTGAAGACATATTTGAGATAAGCAAAAATAATTAAATTTAAATGCAAGGTATCTAAAAGTCCTAAATATTGTATAATTTTTTTTGATATTCAACTCTAGTTGAGAGTTTTGTTCATACATTTTATAGTAATTGAAAGCAAATATGAAAGCTCTAAGCTTTGGACCTTAAGCAGTGAGTTTTAAATGTGATTATTGCAATCAGAGTCTAAGTTGTAACTTTCCTGACAGGATGGTATCTCACTACTATGGCAATGGAGATGTTTGTGACTTAACTGACAAACCTCGACAAGTGACTGTGAGACTGAAGTGAGTTACACTTAAAATACTGTTTGTACTGACTAATTGAGCTATATGTATCCTAAGGAAAAAAGATGTCTGAACCCTTAAAGTGCTCTTATTTTCCATTACTAATTATTGGGCACAATAATTTGAGAATTACCTGCAAGGCAAGTGCTAGCACTGATGATGTTACCTATTTGGGTAATGAAATGTCCACAAGAAAACAACCAAGCTCAAAGAGAACCATGCAATTCTGAGCTACAAGAATGCTCTTCTAAATACCAGATTCACTGGGAAATGTTATTTATCTAAAAGCGTAATTCTTTGCTCATATTGCAGTAAGTCTTGCATCATCTTTAGAGATGATTCATAGGCCACTATACTAACGGAAAATCTTGGAGCTTGAAGAAGTCTGTTAACCATTTTCTTAATCTGCTTTGTCTATTAATACACTTTCCTGTTTTAAGGTGCAAAGAATCTGACTCTCCTCATGCTGTAACTATATATATGGTGGAGCCTCATTCCTGCCAGTATATTCTTGGGGTATGTGTTTGAGATCTTGATCTAAACTACGTTGACTTCTAAGGGAAAAATCTCCCATGAAAAATGTATTTCATCTAGAGAAACATGAAAGTTCTGATAAACTTGTAATTTTTCATTAATATGGACCTAATGCCTTTGGAAATATGACACGGTGCGTTTTTCTAGAGCAGGGGTGTCAAGCTCGTGGCATCACGTCACATGACGTATTGTGATTTTTTTTCCCCTTCGCTAAAACGGGGGTGGGTGTGGCCAGCTCATGACGCATCCAGGCTGTGTTTTGACAACCCTGTTCTAGAGCATTAGGAATGGAGTGACATGACAACAATGTGGCATAGATGTCAGATGTGTACTATAATGCTTTTCCATAAGTTTTTATTTATTGGTAATAGTCTCTGTGATATTAAGTACATTTCAAATTGGATAGAACTTTCAGGTCTGCTTAGGTCATATTTAATATCAGAACCCACAACAAAAATGTTGGTAGCCAAAGTTGCTATTTAAAAAATATTGCAGTTAGACTACACATACCCCAAAATTAAAGATAGCATTGAACTATTATAATATTGTGTGAAAAATATTAGGAGCTCTGGTGGCTCAGCAGATTAATTAACATCCACTTACATCTGCTGCCTGCAATTACTGCAAGTTCAAATCTCACCAGGCTCAAGGCTGACTCAGCCTTCCATCCTTTCTAAGGTAGGTAAAATGAGGACCCAGATTATGGGGGCAATAAGTTGACTTTGTATAAATATACAAAAGTATGAAGGCTATTGCTTAACGCATTGTAAGCCGCCCTGAGTCTCCAGAGAAGGGCGGCATATAAATCAATTTTTTTTAAAAAAAGACTTCGAGAGTTAGGGCAAAGAAATGCTGTGCAGGGAATGGTCAAATAAGTGAGGGCATAGCCCACAGCTGCATAATGGGTGTAGAAAGAGACTAAGAAGGGACCCTCCTTAGCTTCTCAAGATATAAAGGAGATAGCATGAGATTTGTATGCTCAGACTTGCAAGATTCTGTTAACCTAGCCTTACAATAAAGCAGAATTAGTCTGTCTGGTCATGTTTCCTATTTGAAGTACCCAGGAAGACCGACAGATTTTTTTTTAGTTTTTGCAAAAATATATTTTATCCCAAATAAAATATTTAAATGTTAAAAACATTGGGAACAATTGGGAATATTACATTGGCGCATTGGCAGGGGAAGAAGGCAAGAATTAAAATAAAATACCTTCAAGATACACGAGAGAAAGGAGGACTAGGATTAACGGATTGGGAACTGTACTATAAAGCTGCATCATTGACTTGGATAAGAGATTGGATAGAGCTTAAAAACAAAAGAATATTAACATTAGAGGGCTTTGATTTGCAGAGAGGTTGGCACGCTTTTTTCTGGGAAGGGAGAAATAAACATCATGGATACTTCCAATGACACATTATTAGAGAAGCACTATATAAAACATGGCAAGAGATTAGAAAAGTACATTATAATAAAATTCCAGGATTGTTATCGACCATGGAGGCGTAGATCTACCCGAATGCCATGGACAAGGAGAAAATGAAAACCTATAAAGAATTGCTGAACAGTGGAGGAGAGTTAAAATCAAGACAAGAACTGAAAGAACAGGGTATAGACATTGGTGGCCATATTTACAGATAGAATCCAGGTACAAGACAGACCTGGTACAATTCGGATTCCAAAAAGAGCCATATGAACTACAAAATTTTACAAGGAACAGATGATAAATTGATAACTAAAATTTATAATTACTTATTAAAATATAAATTAGAAGAAGAAGTGGTTAAAGAAAATATGATAATTTGGGTGAAAAATTTTGGACATAACATTGAATTGGACAAATGGGAAAAATTATGGAAAGTAAACTATAAACTAACAATGTCTATACCCTACAAAGAGAATATATATAAAATGTTCTACCGGTGGCACCTCCCGCCTGCGCACCTAGCAAAAATGTTTCCGAATACCTCCTCAACTTGCTGGAAGTGCAAATCACAAAAAGGAACTTACTACCATATGTGGTGGTCATGCCAGAAGGCAAAACAATTCTGGCATGCAATAAAGATACAAATAGAAATCACAAATCAGAAATTGGAAATGAAACCGGAAATCTTCTTATTAGGAATAATTACAGGCCATTACGAAAAAGAAATAAAATATCTAATAATCTACATATTAACAGCAGCACAGATAGTCTTTGCTCAAAACTGGAAACATGAAGACACACCAATGGAAAACAAAATAATCAACAAAATTATGGAATGTGCAGAAATGGATAGACTTACGAAAGAATTGCAGGAAAAAGATGAAACAGACTATTATTTAGTATGGCAGAGATGGTATAACTGGTTGGAGAAAAAGAAAGGAATACAAAAATAGGGACACAAAACAGAGGTCAAAATTCATAGACAAGAATTGGGTACCAATTAAGAAAGATAGTTAATTTAACATGGAATTTATGATATTGTCTTATACGTAAACATATAGAGGTATAGATAAGAATATAAATACAGTCTACCGATGTAACAAATTGGAAAAAGGAGTCATGACTTTATTTGTTTATTTGTTTTGTATGTTGCATTGTTGTATCTATGTTTGTTCGTTATTTTTAACCAATAAAAAATAAAATTAAAAAAAATAAAAACATTGGGCACAATTAAGCCAAAACTTTAAGACCTCTACACAGGCTGTTAATTAAAATAGTTGTGAGCAAGTCCGTGGGATTTAACTTTTTTGGGGAGCCTTGTTGAGAATACATAAGGTGTTCAAAATGTTTGACCGGTCATATTCTGATTGCAAGATTATCCCCAGATACAGCATTATCTTTTTCTAACTCTAGAGCATCAGTTTTATGAGCACTAAGCTTATAGTAGCTTTTTGGTCACAGTTGTTCAATTTGATTTTTTTTTTCATGACTTACTTTGCTCAGTTTCATTGTGACTAACATCTTTGTAAACATTTTTTTCTTTCCAGGTAGAGTCACCAGTTATCTGTAAAATTCTGGATACAGCAGACGAATATGGATTGCTTTCTGTGCCAAGTTAATGACATGGTAAATTATTGGACATTCAGAACCACAAAGCTGAAGGAAGAAAAGTACACCTGCAGTTCTCCTTGTGAACCAAGGGTGAAAAGAAGTACAGAGTCACAGGAATTCACCAGCAGACAGACAGAAAGAAAAAAAACTATTGTGGATTATTTTGTGAATATTATATGTATATAAGAGACTATGATAAACTTTTTAAAAATTTAAAAAAATCTAATCTTGGACTCTTTCATTTACTCTAACACAGAATGGAATTTCTCTTAATATTTACTTTTTCACTTTATGGAAGATGAAAATAAGATTCTGTTTTGATAATATATCAAAATATTGTTAAGAAATTTGTCCTTACTTCAAGAAGAGGAACGACCTAGAACTATTGTTAAGAAATTTCCTTAACAGTAAGAAAAATTAACCAGTGGAATGGCTTGCCTTCAGAAGTTGTGAGTCACCATCACTGGAGGCTTTTAAGAAGAGACTGGACGGCCACTTGTCTGGAATGGTATAGGGTCTCTTGCTTGAGCAGGGAGTTGGACTAGAAGACCTCCAAGGTCCCTTCCAACTCTGTTATTCTATTACATTGGTTTCTTTTGCATAGGAGTTTTTCTGATCTGTTCAGATGATCAGTGATTAATTTTTACCAGAAGATCTCTCTTATGTCTTTGCTATACATTGTGATCCATGAAGGAAACTAAGTGGTTGAAGATACTTCCATCTCTTTACATAAGGTATTACAATAAGTTTCTTAAATTAATGAGTCCAGATTTGGAGATGCTTCCTAATGCCTTTCTAATCATTCCAGGAAGTACCCTCTCTCTCCAGTTAGATCAGTAGCTGGAAGACTGAAGATTCTTCTGCCTAGTGCTTGCCATTCCCAATTTAATTGGAATGAAATTGATATTATGTTATGTTGCACTGTAGCAGCTTCTGTTAATTATATGTCTTGCCACATTATGCAATTCTTGTAGGTATATTCATGCGGCTTCCAGAACTTTATCCACTTCACATGCACTCAGACTCTTCTTCCACCTTGCTCAGTATTATATTTTCTATAAATGCATCAGCCCACCAGATAAGTCCAAAGTACAATAGCTTTTGCATAGTAACTCTATTTTGGCCCTGTCCTTGCTGGTATTAGACATTAAGGTGCCTTCTCAGGACATGCTTTCTAACCCTGATAAACACTCATTTTGTAAAAATGTTTTAAATCTGATTTTCTCTGGTGGGATGATGATGATGATGATCAGAGTTAGGAGGAATTTTTTTATATCACTGTTGCAATAGATCAATAGTTGATGTGGATCAGATTTACAATCGGGAGGAGAATAACTGATTCAAATTCTTACCCAAAAGTTAGTTTGGATTTTTCTGTCACTTTGCCATGTTGAGATTAATCTTTTCTATCCATCCCAAGTAATTCCTCCACAGTTCTCCCTTACCCCAATATGTGGCAGTAGTCTTTACAATAGTCTCAACCAATAATGGTTGGTGCTATTTTATAGTCTTGTCTGGGAAGTAAGCTTTTCCACTGGAGCTAGGGATTGATCAAGGAGTTATAGGTCCTAAGTAAGGGACAGATCCTAGCTGATCTCAGGAGCCAAGCAGGATTAGTCTTGGTCAATATTTGCATAGGAGATCATCTAGATATTCCAGGTCTGCCTAAATAGGGAAGTAAAAAATGCCTCACAGAAAAAGACAACCGAACTTCCTAATTAATTAGTATCAATTTAGGTGTGATGATACTAAGTGGAAAATATATTTATTTAGTAAGCATCATTTTAGCTTTATAAAACTTCAGTTTCCTTCTGCTGATAGATTTTTGTTCAACTGATCCTATTGTGTTAAAGAAAAACCTTCATTATTGATGAGGAATTCTTCAACTGAGAAAATATGTTTTCCAAACAAAATAATGTTTTTTTCCAGATATGTTGGACCAGCTTCCAGAATAATTAGCATTTGGCTGAGAATTCTGGGAATAGAAATCTTAAATCTAAATCTAATTTAAGAAAAAGGAAATTTTCTTAGGTTTTTTTTTTTCCTGGTCTATAAGCCACGATACAAACCAGCAGAATTTTCATTATGTATTAACTCCTCACCAAAAACTGACAGGCAATAATTAAATTAGGCACACAGAATACATGAAGCATCTTATTTTGTTTTGGGTTGAAGTACACATTAATCATTATAAAGATGGTCTTCATTTGCTGCTGCTCAGATTTAGCATTAATTCTAAAATTGCTATGCAAAAATTTGAAAATTTAGCAATGCAGAAGAAACAGCAAAAGTTACCTCAGGTTATTGCAATTTGTTTCCTGTCTGTAGCAAAAGTGGGTGGGGAAAAATGGAGATGTCTGTAAAATATTTGTCATAGATTATTTGATTCAGAAACCTTTCCTCAATGATTCACTATGAAAAAGAAAGCTAGAAGGTACAGGACCTAGGGTGGAGGACATTTCCAAATCCATGTTGGTTACGTGAGCAAGGAATGTGAGACCAAAAGCTATTGCAGGATAACAAAAGGAGATGGAACAGATTAAAGCAACTTCTGTGTATTGCATTTGCTTAAACACTAGCAATCGCCTCATTTGCTTAAAGTAAAGCCAGCCAGATCCTTGATTCCTTGTTGCATCATAATTTAATCATTCACTTGTGGGAAACAATCTGCAAGTTGTAACAGATGTTAAGATTGAAAACGGGCTTGCCTTTTCTTTCGTGTATCTATCGGCTTTCCCACATTGTAATGTATTAGTTCACATCCTTATTAACAGGGAATTTCCAAAAGATGTGATGTAAATAGTAAATTCAATTTGATAGGACAGAGGCATTCAAAACCATTTTTGTTCAGCTGCTGTATTCACAGCAGCAAAATGTTCCAGATATAAGCACTATCATGGAAAGAGAATGAATTGAAAGGTAAGCAAATTACATGCTAAGGAAAGATGTAAAATGGTTGAGGGAGGGTTCATACTTAGGGAATAATTGAGGGAAGCACAGCATATTTTGTGTACTATTCATGTCATGCCTCTTTTTGTACTGTCTTGAAGAGATTTCAATTTAGAATAGAACAGAACAGAATACTTTATTGGCCAAGTGTGATTAGACACACAAGGAATTTGTCTCCAGTATAGTAGCTCTCAGTGTACATGCAAAGCAATATAATAATAATAACAATAATAATAATGAAAATAATAATGAAAATAAGAGGTGGGGAGTAAAGAAGATAAGGATAAGTGATAATACAGCCATTTATTTATTTATTTATTAGTCGCATTTCTATGCCGCCCAACTCCCTAGGGACTCTGGATGGCTTACATATATATATGTATGTATATATATATTACTTATATAGCCATGCTATATGGGTTGGGTAAATATATGTAGGACATTAGACAGTACAGTGAGAATTAGGTATCAGCAGATTGATGGCATGAGGGGAAAAAATTGTCCCTCTGTGTAGTTGTTTTGGCATGCAGTGCCCTGTACTGTCATTCCAAGGAGGAGTTGAAATAGTTTATGTCCAGGATGTGAGGGGGTCTGTTAGATGTCTTCTCGGCTCTCCTTCCGACCCGTGTAATATACTGGTCTACTATGGAAGGCAGGCTAGTTATAATTGTTCTTTTTCCAGTCTTAACTATTCACTGGAGTCTGTACCTATCCTGTTTGGTTGTTGTACCAAACAGCAAATAGGACAGGACAGTTACAGAAACACAAATGACAGACTCAATAATTCCTCTGTAGGACTGTATCCACAGCTCCTGGGGCAGTCTGAACTTTCTGAGTTGATGCAAGAAGAACATTCTTTGTTCTGCCTTTTTAACAATGGTTCTAATATGAAGTACCCTTTCAAGTGCTGGGAAATTAAAAAACCCAAAAAATTGAAGGACTCTATTGCTGGTACTGTGCGGTAGAATATAGTAAGGGTGTAGAATAGAAGGGCTCCTCCTAAACTCCACTCATATCTCTACTGTTTTAAGCATGTTTAGCTCCAGATTGTTCTGACTACACCACAGGGCCAATTGTTCAACTTCCCTCCTATATGCAGATTCATTACTGTCTCAAATGAGGCCACTGACCATTTTATCATCTGCAAACTTCAGTACTTTTAACAGAAAGTGCTCTTGAAGTGCAATCATTGGTATAGAGGCAGAAGAGCAATGGAGACAGCAGGCAGCCCTGAGGGGCTCCAATACTAATTGCCCGGGTACTAAATGTAATTTTCCCTTGCTTCACCTGTTGCTTCCTATCTGTGAAAAAGCTTATGATCCACCTACAATATGAACAGGCACAGTGAGCTGAATCAGTTTAGAGTGAAGAATTTTTGGAATGTTGGCACTGAATGCCAAGCTGAAGTCTGCAAAAAGGACTCATGCATAGGGGATTCAAGATGTTGCGAAATGTACCAGTGTCATATTGACAGCATCATCTGCCAATCTATTTGCTCAGTAGGCAAGCAGATCCGTGATGACTTTCAGATGGGCCCACACTAACCTCCCAAAGGTCTTCATAAATACAGATTTCAGAGCAATCAGATTGTATTCATTCAGCTCCCTGATGGAGGATTTCTTAGGAACTTTTATTCAAAATCCATGTGAAGATGGGTGGCACTTGTTCAGCACAGGATTTCAAGAAAGGAGTTACTCCATTTGGGCCTAGTGCTTTTCCAGTCGTTTGTCTATGAAACAGACCTCGCACATGCCTTTCTAAGATCACCGGGGGGGAAGGTGGGAGGAGGAGGATAGATAGGTAAAGGAAGATTAGCTACTATTAATGTATTTAGGGGAGGAGGGGGTAGATTGCAGTAGATGACAATGCTCTCCTCCTTATATCAAACTGCATAATGTAGCTTTCATTATCAATGACCTAATGGTACTACTTTATGGTGTGTCTGATTTGATCTCTTAACTTGTGAACTCTTTTCCCCCGTGCTTTTTAACATATGTATGAAATGGATAGGCCCAATGTATAGAGGTCTGAATACTTATGCTAAGACAGTTAACAAAACTTGAAGGTTCTGAAAGTTAAACAGAAATACAAAGTGTTAATAAAAACACAGAATATGACTCTCTGCTACATGAGGTATCTTTCTGAAAACATTGAATTCATGTGTGGATATTTTTGTGAAGCCAGTTTTATTCTAGAAATGGATAGCTAGGTGAAAGCTGTGACCATAAGTGATTTTTCCAAGTTGAGGCTTACTTCTCCATGCAGACTGTCTTTGAACACCGCCCAGAAGCTTCCGTCTGTTAAACTGTGACGCCTAAATTATTTGATTAGGTAATATCACTTTACTGTGGAAACAATTGCAATAACTATCCTTTCTCAATACTAAGTGCTAATTATT